CATTGAAGGAGGCCATAAGCAAAAAGGCCAGGGATCATCCACCGATTATATATTCCTGCCTCAGTTGATATCTCATGGTCTTGGCCCATTGCAATGAGAAGGCTGCTTGTGTAAAACCAAATCAATGATAAGGGAATACTCAACCCAAGTAGAAGAAGCATTGCCCTTTGTGTGTAAATTCCTAGCATTTGATACTGCCTGGCTCCATAGGCTTGACCACATAGCGTCTCCAATGCACTCCCCATTCCTAACTTTGTAAAGCCATGTGTAAAACATGGAAAAGTTCAGAGAAGGTAAAAGTTGCATTAAAATGTTAAAGGATGTAACGTGTGTACTAGAATTTTAAGTGGCATAGTTGATTGGTTTTAGAAGTTGTGAGGAAGTGTTTACTTGCACGGTCCTTTGTGCAGTGAAAATAGAGGATGATAAAAATTGATACACACAAAAACAAAATGCTTGGTAGAACTGAAATAACAAGAATAACATCTACTTTTCATGAAATCAAGGAGAGTTACCCTACCCAAAGTTTTGTGTAGGTTTCTTTGGCACTTGAGTTTTAAAATGGATAAAACTTAGATATAATATTATAGATACTGTTGTTGTTCTCTTATTAGAGTTAGAATTTCATCTCGATAATATGTACTGACATTTAATACTTGTGTGTTAATGTCAAACTTCATTGTATCGATTATCATAGTAAATTCTAACTTCTATGAAAAAAGACCACTATACCTAATTTTTGTTCTTGAAGGATTTATCCAATACTTCTAAGGGAAACTTAATATTGAAAGATATAGAAGAAAACCCACTTACCAAAACACTATAACCAGTGACTGAGGCAAAAGAGGTGCCGAGAGAAGCACCTGCAAGAGGCAGTCTCCCAAGATGGCCAACGAACATGATCGATATCATTTGTAAGCTGTATTGCAGCAAACTAACTGCAATAAGTGGCCCTGCTAGCCATAGTTGCTTTTTAGCTTCCTCAATAATATCTTTTCTTAGGCAACAACATTGTTCAGATGCATGGACATCGAGTTCATGGTTTCTATGTTGGTTTGGACACAATGGAGTGTCAAGACTTGATTTACCTCCTTTTTCCATTGTCAAAGTGAACAATGGATTCCACACCACTAAAATATATCTTCATACGTGCGTATGCTCTTTTTTATCAATCAATATCATAATAATAAAAGTGTATGACCAATCCACCACCCCAATCATTCTAAATATTAAAATCGAAATAGACTCAATTTAGATAAATCGATTAATACGTATTTGAGAAGGAAAAAAAAAGTTAAATATTTTTTTCTATAAATTTAAATTCACTTATTCATATTAAATATTTTTAGAAACTTGTTTATTTAACTTCTCTGAAAACTTGTGTGTATGTTAATTTTAATTTACCTTGGTTTTTTTATAAGTACACACTGAAAAATTATTTAAGTTAATCATATTAATACCATTTACTAGAGGACAAAATCTAGTCTTGTAACACTGCATAAAAGAACATCAATAACAGTGTTTTCTTTAAGAGTAGTCGAGGTAGATGCCAGTCAGTGGCATAAGGGTTAATATTAGTTCATAAGTTAATGGGGATTTGGAGTCTTTAAGATTTAAGTTCTTATCTAATAAAGTTGAAAACTACCCTAAATAGGTGGTGAAAATGTCAGGGGCATATATATATATATATATATATATTAACAATTCATACAAAAAATAATTCTCAATTTTGATTTGATGATAAATATTAACAATTGCTTTCGCTGTTTTCATTATAACGTCCGTTTGATCCTGCAAACTATCAGTACCCACGTTTATTTACACAAAACTATTCAAACTAAGTAAAACTACTTATTTTTATTAAAATTGTAATATTTAATGTTATGAATAATTTTTAATACAAAATATTAATCTAAATTCGTACAATTAATTTTATGTAATTAAAATATAAATTTTTATTCAAAAATAAAAAATATTTTTATTAAAATTTATTATTTTTACATGTTTAAAATCATATCTAAGAATTGAGAATAGGAAAATTATTTTTACTATGATTTTTAATATTATTTATTAATTAATTACTTTTACATTAGGGTCCAATTCAAGTAAGCTTTTAGGTAAATATTTATAGGATCAAAGATTTTATATAAAAAAAATAGCAATTCTCTTCTAAATTACAAAAAATTATACTTTATAAAATTTTAAAAACTAAATATGAAAGCATTTTAAAAAAATTAAAATATATAAACTAATTTTAATTTATAAAAAAAATTATTTTGCTATTTGATTTTTCAATTGTATTTATTTTAAATCCAAACATTTTTCTTAAATTTTATAACCGATAAATTTTGGCTATATAATATAGCCTGTGAGTAATGTTTTGTTCAACTAAACTTTTTCTAAGAATTGAAAAGATTAGGCAGTTTTTTTTTTTAAATTAGCCCAATAAAAAACGATATCGATTACCTTATTTATTTTGAGTTCATACAAACCTATATTTATTAGTAACTGTATTATATTTAAAGATTTGTAATACTAAAAATTGATGTTGTAAATTTAAAAAAAAAATGTATTTTTTTAATATTTACAGATCTTATTCAATATTACAAAAGTTTAAATGACAAATTCAATATCAAATGAATATTTGAAAGAGTAAAGTAGCATAACAATAAATAGATATTATAACAAAATATTTAAAATAAACACAAAATATTCATTTTTAATACTGTTTATAATTTCAAAAAATTCAGACTGCGTGCATTTTTTCTAAAAGACAATTTGTAAAACTATTATTTGCAATGTTATTAATTATTTAAAACATATAAAGAGTACATATAATTATGGTTATACCTTTATGATTTATTTGATAAGTTTGTATACGATAATAATTTTACTTTACCTATTTATTTTTAAAATAATATTTCATTATTATTTGAATTAAATATATTATTCAACTATTGTTCTTAATTTTCTAATCTATGCAGTATTAATTTGTTTTATAATATTATATCATCTGCATTTGTATTTCTCAACATTATTTTATTGCTATTTTAATGATATTAATATTATTTGGACATTTGCAAGATGAAAATAAAGACTGGGTCCTCTAATTGACATCAAAAGAAAAACTGGGCCCTCTAATTTAAGAAAATTCACCACATATCCACAAGTCAACTAACCTAAGGAGTAGCAATTACTTGAGAGTCCAGGCCCAATTAGCATTTGTTGACCATACTATACTTAGATTAGTATTGACTATTGACCTTTTAGACAACAAAAAAAATAGCGTTGACCCCAAAAATTAGTAAATATATGTTGATGAAATAATAAAAAAAATAAAGAACAAAGATTAGTAAATATATGACAGTCACGATCGGAACGTGAACAAAACGATTATTCAGAAATCGACAAATGAAAACATCTATTGATTTACTCCTTAAGAATCGATTCTCAACATTCTAATCACAAAACAAAAAGCAAAAAAGCACTTAATTTGTTCACGGACTCAATTAAGAGGACAATTACTAATAATAAGAAAGTTATCTGAAAATGAAAAAAAGGATTTATTTGTTTTAAGTTGTAAAATTAATTATTCTATTTTTAAAGTAAAAATGTTTATTTTAAAAAAAAAGTAATTTGGATTCATTTATCTAAATTTTAATTATTTTCTTTGATACAAATTAATTTTAATATTTTTAAATTAAATGAATGGGGAAGACTCATGCAAGAACTTTGAAAATATTAACTTAGTAATTATTAAAAAATATAAGTCGTCACCGTATTTTCTTGGAGCCTTCTCGGATCCAATTGTGTGATATTTTCTATGGAAAGAAAAAAAAAATCATTTTTTCAAAAAAGCAAAAGAAAAACATGACAAATTATATTAAGCGTTAAAAAAACTAAGCACAGTATAATAAATAGATGAATATAACCGATCATTTTATGGTCCTTAATTTAGAAAAAGCAAAAGAATGTGAATATACAGAACACATAGTATATGACTGAGGCAAAAGGTCTTTGGACTGGTAGAACAGAAGAAAGATGGAAGAGAGTGTATCGCTAACAAGAAAAGAGAGTAGTAAGAAGAAGAGAATAAGCTGGAAAGGGCTGAGTGAAGAAATGAAGAGGATCATTGAGATAGCAGGGCCTATGGTGGCTGTGAGTGCTTCCCAATATTTGCTGCAAGTTGTGTCAATAATGATGGTTGGTCATCTCGATGATGATCTCTATCTCTCCAGCGCCGCCTTGGCCATCTCTCTTGCTACTGTCTCTGGTTTCAGTCTTCTTGTAAGCTCAATTATCTTTTTCTCTCCTCTCTCATTCTTAATACTATTATTTCATCTCAAAACCTTAGTCTCTGGTCCACATATTTAATTTTAGCACATAAATGTGAAAAGGGTAATACTAATTGGGAGAGTTGCAAAATAATTATAACTTAATTTAAATGTACAGATATATTTAAACACACGTCTGTTTTAATTATTGATGAAAAAAATATTCATTTTCTAATTAATTGATACCATAATTTTTTTATATTGACAATGTAATAAAATTAAATAAATAATTTAATAAATGCTTTTTTTTTCTTGTGATATCTCGTGCCGAGAATATATTAAAATTTTGAGATTAGGAATTAGGGGGTTCAGTGTATCTTTTATGAACTATGCCCTCTATTTTTCCACTGCGTTCTAATTATCTTATTTAAAAGATAACAGAATAGTCTATATACAAATTACTTGAAATCTCAACTTGTAGAGTGATTTTTCTGAAATTACAATATTAATTTTATCATCCTAGGGCATCTTATTCGTTATCTTTAAAATGGTTTTTGGTTGCATAGTGGTTTTCTCGTCTTCTAATATAATACGATTGCTTTTAGAAGCAACTATTTTTTGCTCTTTCTCTATGCTACTCTGTTGCTTCTATTTGTGTAACTTGTTTAGCAATGATTCCTTAAGAATTAAAGATGCTATAACTAGAACTACAGTCTAACATTATTAATGAGGTACAAATCAACGAAACTAAAAGGTATCAATGAAGTAGAATTATTGTTTGAGAGTAACAAGTTTATATTCTTTATCAACTATTTCTAAGATGTTGGCTCGCTCATAATAATCATTATTTTATTCCCCTAGTAACTTAGTGCAATGGTAATTTGCGCATGCTAATAGACAGGAATGGCTAGTGGACTGGAAACAATTTGTGGACAGGCTTATGGAGCTCAGCAATACCAAAGAATTGGAATACAAACATATAATGCTATATTCTCCCTCTTATTCGTTTGTCTTCCCCTGTCTTTCCTTTGGATCAGCATGGAAAGGATACTAGTTTCCATTGGCCAGGACCCTCAAATTGCACATGAAGCAGGGAAATTCATAATTTGGCTTCTTCCAGCACTCTTTGCTCATGCAATTCTGCAGCCATTAGTTCGATATTTCCAGATGCAAAGTTTGCTTCTTCCCATGCTTATAAGTTCTTTTGTCACTCTTTTTATTCACATACCTCTTTGCTGGGCATTGGTATTCATGACTGGACTGAATAATGTTGGTGGAGCATTAGCAATGAGCATTTCAATATGGTCAAATGTGATTTTTCTTGGATTATACATGAGATACTCTTCTGCATGTGCAAAAACCCGTGCACCAATTTCTATGGAGCTGTTCCAAGGAACTGGAGAGTTCTTTCGTTTTGCTATCCCTTCTGCTGTAATGATTTGGTGATTTATCTACCTGTTCAACTATATTCATTTTACCAAATTATGAAGTGTTTATTTGTCCTAAAAAGAGTTTATAATGTAATTTTTTTTCATGTTGATTACTGTAGCGTTCAATGGTGGTCGTTTGAACTGCTTATCTTGCTGTCTGGGCTGTTACCAAATCCAAAACTCGAGACTTCAGTTTTATCCATTTGGTATGTTTGTTAAATTTTGTTGTTTTCTTTTTAAAACAACATATAACGATTTTGTAAATTAATGTGATTGTGCTAATTCTCTGTCATTTTTGTACAGTCTCAACACCATTTCAACTCTTTATGCAATAGCCTTTGGAATTGGTGCTGCAGCTAGGTACCATAAACATATTCATTCTACGTATTTTTTAAGTATCACACCTTTTAGCATACATCTAAACTGTTAGAAATTTCCCTTTGGGAATTTAAATAAAACTCAACTATTAGCCTTTTGGTGTAATGATCTTTGAGGTTACAGCAAAATAACTTTTTGGTACAATAATCTTCTTCAGCCTAAAATTAACGGATTCTTTTACAAGACTTGATGTTTCTCTTGTGATGGGGCAAAGAGAGATGTATTGTTATTTTAGCATATTAGGGATTATGACTAACTTTATGATTTTAAATCTATTAAGATTCCCATCAACCCCTAACGGACTAAATCCAATCTCCACTTGTTGAGCTGATATTTTTTTATTCATATTATTTTTTATTAGCAGTTTAAAGGCTCTCCAAAATTAGATTATTTTTATTGAACACAACAAAATGTAAATAGCTAATATAAATGCTATAAATAATATGTATTGTCCACATTAACTATTAGAAATAAAATTTCTAACAATCTCTCATTGGGCTTCATATTCATTTAAGTATTTATATCACAAAAATTCTTTATGCGTGTAACTGTACGTTATTCATTTTTAGACTCCTCTTATACAATTTGGTCCATCTCATACAACAACAGGGAACCATTGCAACTTTTACCATAATCCAATGTGACTAAACCACAATGATCACCACAATTGTATGTACTCAATAACATAGATCAAATATGAATAAGTGGCATGGAAATTACATGCAATGTGATCTTAGTCATGTGTATTTCCAACTAGTCTAAACTTTATTCTTTATAGAGATCAATCCAAAATGCAATATAATTATTGCAAAATTTAAGTAGAGCATAATGACAAACACTAATTTTATTCTTTAGAAGATGCAAAGGAAAGATCAAACATATAGTGTATATGGGACGTTTCAAAATAAGGAATGAACTCTACAGTCATGGTTGAAGGAGCCATAATAGTTTGTTTAACAGACTTTCAAGAGATAGCTCCTACAGCCAACATAAAGATATTTCCATGTATGGAGCTTTTGCTGTCTTGACATCCAGCAAAATCAGAGTCAAAGTACTTAATAATATCTAAATTGTTGGACTCCTGATAAATGAGTATATATCTCTTTTGTTCTCTTCAAATAGTGCATTATACGCTTTACTGCCTTCCAATGGTGCATCCAAAGATTGCTTAAGTATCTGCTTAAAACTCTCATTATAAATGCTATATTAGGTCGAGTGCAAACTTAAGCACATTAGATTTCTCACCGCTGAAGCATAGAGAATCTTTTATATTTCATGCCGAATCTATCCAAAACTTTTTTGATATAGTTTTCTTGTGATAACTTTATGATACCATAAGAATGATCTCTGAGTATCTTAACTTTATGATACAAAAGAGGCTTCACCAAGATCTTTCATTTTAAAAAAAAAAATTCTTTGTAAAAAAAATCTCTTGATTTCGTACAATAAGCCTATATCACTGCTAACAAGCAGTATATCATTGACATATAACACCAAAAACATATATTTACTCCTATTGAACTTATGATAAATACAATTATCAACTTTATTTGCTTTAAAATCATATGAGATAACAATTTGATGAAACTTCTAATACCTACACAATATCCTATAAAGAAATTGCTAATTGTTTTGGGAACAATGAAAGATATTAAGCCTTCTTTATTTTATCAAATTTCTTAAGTTTCTTACTTAAAGACACTATTAAAATTTCACGAGAACTTAATCATTGTTAATGACAGGTTCTTCCTCAAAGACAATATTTCTTATATTCTCTTCCTTCCTAAACTCAACATCCTTAAAGAATCTTACATTCTCTGTCTCAAAGAATGATTAATAGTGGGATTGTAAAATTTATTGCCCCAAGAGCGTTTAAGATAACCAACAAAATAACAACTTTAAAAGATATAAAAACATATAAGGATTGATACTTCTCATGAATTAAAATAGGTAACCGTGTCTTAAATAATCATCTATGAATGTAGGAAATGATCTATTCCAAGATGTCATAGGAAATGGTCCATAAATATCAGTGTGAATTAATTTCAAAACATCCTTAGATCTTTCGGCACCTAATTCTCTAGAATTTGTTTGTTTACCCTTAATACACTCAATGCAAATCTCAAAGTCTGACAAGTCTAAGGGTCCAAGAATCTCATCTGACACAAGTCTTTGAATTCTCTGTTTAGAGATATAATCTAAACATTTATGCCATAAAGTGGCTGAGTTCTTATTTATTTTACATTTTATACCACGAGAATCGACGTGAAAAACTTTTTTATTGGAACTAATTGCATCTAGCAAGTATAAATTATCAATTAAAGAATCAGAACCAACAACATTTGAATTTTGACAGAGGTTAAATTTATTATTTCTAAATGAACAAGAAAAATCAAATTTGTCCAAACTAGAAATAAAAACCAAATTTTGCTTAAAAGACGGTACAACAAAAGTCTTAAATAAATCTAAATGAAATCCAATTTTTAACTGTAATCTAAATGTCTCAATAGCCTCCACTGTGACCTTGTTGCCATCACCCACGTAGATAAATCTTTTATTATCACTCGGCAGTCGGCTCCAAAGACAACCCTACATGGATATGCTAATGTGAGTAGTAGCTCCATAATCTACTCAAAAAGTATCATGTGGTACAAAAGTTGAACTTACTTCAGAATAAACAAAAGAAAGAAAATTACCTTTCTTTACACGCCAGGTGGCGTACTTGGGACATTCTTTTTTCATGTGCCCAAGTTTCTTACAAAAGAAACAGGTAGAAATTTTTCTCTTCCTTTTTGGCTTTCTTTAGCTGAAAAGTCATTTCTACAACATCCGTATAATTATTTCTCTTTTTATTTTGAGAGTTTAAAGCCAAATAAACACTTTCAGTTTGTTCTCTTTATTGTCTTTCCTCCTCTTGCACACAGTGAGAAATTAATTTATTCAAGGTCAATTTATCTTTTTAAGTATTATAACAAACCTTGAATTACCAAATTGTGCAGGAAGTGAAATCAAAACTAAATGCATGAATAAGTCATCAGACAACTCTAACTTTAGTGCTTTCAATTTTGATGCAAGATTAGATATTTCCATAATGTACTCTCTTATGTTTCATTTGCCTTTGTATCTCATAAAGATAAGCTTGGCAAGCAGACTGCTTGCATCAGCCTTCTCATTACTGCTGAAACAACATCAAGAAAACCTTTAGCGCTCTTACTCTAAAAAATAGAGCCTCAAAAAAACTTCTGGAACAGATTGCTTCATAATCATCAGTCATATTCAGTTTGAGCGTTTCCACTTTTCAACCTTATCCTCCTCCAATTTCTCCGGAGTTGAAGTGGGTTTATCAGCTCAAAGTGCCAAATCAAGATCCATGCAATTAAGAATAATCTCTACTACTTCCTTCCAGACCTTAAAATTTGTTCCATTAAGCGTAGGGATACTATTAATTTGAGCAGACATGTTAGTAGCACTAGCAATAGCAACTGTAATATAATATAGTCACAATTAATTATATGCTCATGAATAGTAGATAATAAATGGGAATTGAGCATAAAAAATTATTATTATAGATCCAACAAGATACCAAGCACTCCACTAACTCCATATGCCTTTGGACATAAAAGTTAGTTTGTAAATGATACTCTCACGCAAAGATCAAATTTTGACAATAAATTCTGTAAGGTAAAATCTCATCTTTAGACAGAAGATTACCCACATGAATAAATAATTTTATAATTGTCACAAATTTACCGTCACAGGCATAAGAATATTTGGTCAAATTGTGTCTCACCTTTGGGTGGAAGCACAACTCACATGAATAACTTCATGCTAATTATTATTATAAATCCAACAAGATACCAAGCACTCCACCAACCCCAAATGCCTTTAGGCATGAAAGTTGGTTTATAAATAGTACTCTCACGCAACGATCAAATTTTGACAATAAATTCTATAAGGTAAAATCCCATCTTTAGACAGAAGATCACCTACATGAATAAATAACTTTATAACTGTCACAAATTTACCGTTATAGGCATAAGAATATTCAGTCAAATTGTGTCTCACTTTTGGGTGGAAGCACAACCCAGATGAATAACCTTATGCTAATTATTATTATAGATCCAACAAGATACCAAGCACTCGACTAATCCCAAATGCCTTTGGGCATGAAAGTTGTTTTATAAATAATACTGTCACGCAACGATCAAATTTTGACAGTAAGTTCTGTAAGGTAAAATTTTATCTTTAGACAGAAGATCATTCACATGAATAAATAACTTTATAATTGTCACAAATTTACTGTTATAAGCATAAGAATATTCAGTCAAATTGTATCTTACTTTTGGGTGGAAGCACAATCCACATGAATAACCTCATGCTAATATCCATGTATTTTTTTATTAAATCAATTTTTACAATACTGACTGCTTTGGCAATATATTATATCAACTAATTTAATTAAAAAATTACTAAACAAATAATAATAATAAAAAAGGAGAGGATCTATAATCTATCAAATGAAATTTTACTCATTCAACAAGAATGTCTTGACAAATATAAATCACATATGTACATGTTATATCATTTTATGCAACAATTATATGTATACATATGTATGTATTTTTCGACAACTTATATGATTCCAAAGAATGCCAAGCATTATTAAAAAGGAGGGTTATCACAAAAAAATATTAATAATAATCATGTGGCACATGTTATCATATATGTGCAAATTACGCATAAGCATTTAGACATCTACATATTATTATGCATTTGAACTTCAAACCCCAACATCGAATGAACCCAAAAATAAACTAAAACCAAATTGATCCTAGAAAATAGAAATCAATCAATCTTAAAATACAATAATCTAACAATAATGGAGCTTTGATACCACTTATTAGAAATTTTTCTTTTGAACTATATGAGAATTTGAATAAAACTCAAGAATCATTATGTCAGATTATCGAATAGAGATAGAAGATTATAGGAATACCTGGATCCATCGACGTTAACTCAGGATTGGAGCGGAATAGTCTTTTGGTGTAATGATTTTCGAGGTTGCAGCAGAATAACCTTTTGCACAATTATCTTCCTCAGCCAAGATTACTAAATTCTTTAATGTTTCTCGTGTCATGGGGGCACATAGAGGTATTGTTATTTTAGCATATTAGGAACCATGACTAACTTTATGATTTTAAATTAGGGTTCCTATCAACCCTAACGGGCCAAATCTAGTTCCTACTTATTGAGCCCATATTCCTTTATTCATATTATTTTTAATTAGTAGTCTAAAAGTTATCTAAAATTAGATCACTTTTATTGAGCTCAACAAAATGTAAATACCTAATATAAATGCTACAAATAATATGTATTGTCCACATTAACTATTAGAAATAAAATTTATAACGTAAACTAGTTATCATTTCTCCTCTCTAATTGTAGCACAAGGGTTTCAAATGAATTAGGATCTGGGAATCCACATGCTGCCCGTGTTGCTGTGTTGGCTGCAATGTCTTTTGCAGTCATGGAAACAGCTGTAGTAAGCGGTACACTTTTTGCCTGTCGCCATGTTTTTGGTTATATTTTCAGCAATGAGAAGGAAGTTGTTGATTATGTCACTATCATGGCTCCTTTGATATGCATATCTGTTATATTGGACAGTATACAAGGTGTTCTTTCAGGTAAACTTCCCTCTATTCTTAGATAGACTTCATATGGAATACAAACATTCTCAGCTTGTTTTACAATTGTTTGGCTCAGGGATTGCTAGAGGTTGTGGATGGCAACACATAGGGGTTTATGTCAATCTAGGTGCCTTCTACCTCTGTGGGATTCCATTTTCTGCCACATTGGCATTTTGGGTACAGCTGGGAGGAAAAGGACTTTGGATGGGTGTACAAGTCGGTGCTTTTGTTCAATGTGTTCTACTTTCTATCATAACCAGTTGCATAAATTGGGAACAGCAGGTATATATGCTCTCTAACCTTTGTCTTAAAAAGTTAAAATCCCAAAACTGAATGTTGTTGTTGATGTGGTATCCCCCTCTAGGCATTTGGTTTGAATTGTGTGGAATTACTGATGCAGGAAATCAAGGCAAGAAAGAGGTTATTTGATTGTCAATTTTCAGCAGACAATAGACTGGTTTGAGAAGGCTATTGGAACATTTTGTGCTCCCAATTATTAATATTATTCAGCACGCGTGCATTTCTAGATGGGACCTAACTTCAGGAAATAGCACATTGCGAGTTGATTCCTAAAATTAGGAGACAGTTTGATCTTGCAATGAGTATCAAAGAATAATAATTTAGTGGAAAACGAAAGAGAGAATGTTTTAATTCTCATTGATATTATTGTAAGAGCAAATTCTGCTCGAGGTATGTCCATCACTAATATGTAAACGTTTCTTTTGGTAACTGTAATTTGCTATTTGTGAGAGATTAGTCATTTCCAATATACTCTAATCCATTGATTAACAAGAGAAAATGTTTGTGTCTACAACAATGGGACTTATCATTTCAGCAACAACGACATGTCTTACTCTTTCAAGCTTACAAACCTGATAAGTTGAGCAAGCACTTGATAGTCGAATACTCAAGGAGAGTAATCTCACTAGCTGGACATATATCAAGGTAAATTATTTGAGAAATTTTTAAATATCATGACTTATGAGTTTTATGGTATAAAAGGATAGATTTTAATTCAAATAATAACTTTGTTATGTCTTACTGTCTAAATGTCTAATACATTTGAATAAATAAATTATATGATTTTGTTACACAATAGCATAAGATGTAATAATATATGAAAAGCTTCGTTATATAATGTCAAGTAATGTTTATTTGAAAGGTTGAGTGATATAAGTATTGTATTGCAGTAATTATCATTGTTGTAAAAGTAAATTTTGGTAGGTCCTTTGTATAATTCTATATTATATCAGCTTTGCTGTATCTTTATGATAATTTTTTTTCTATTTTATAAAGTAAGTATTAAATGAAAATGTTGATTTTTTATTATATTAAAAATATAAAATATATTAAATACTTTTTTATTTAATATATTTGGAAGATTTGTAGAAATAAAAAGTAGGAGAATTTATAATTAGTTATATTATATTTGCTTTGTAAAGTAAAAGTAGCGTGTATTTAAATTTGTGTATTAAAAATTACAAAAATATGAAAAGGGAAATATTAATTTAAAAGTGAGAAATAATAAGATTTATATAATTTTTTAATTTTTAATAAATTTTAATTAATAGTTAAAAATATTTTAATTAGCCCAATAAAAAACGATATCGATTACCTTATTTATTTTGAGTTCATACAAACCTATATTTATTAGTAACTGTATTATATTTAATGTTGATTTTATTTTAAAGATTTGTAATATTAAACATTGATGTTGTAAATTTTTTTAAAAAAATGTATTCTTTAATATTTACAGATCTTATTCAATATTACAAAGGTTTGAATGACAAATTCAATATCAAATGAATATTTGAAAGAGTAAAGTAGCATAACAATAAATAGATATTATTAAAAAATATTTAAAATAAACACAAAATATTAATTTTTAATACTGTTTATAATTTCAAAAAAATTAAGACCGCATGCTTTTTTTTTTCAAAAGACAATCTGTAAAACTATTATTTACAATGTTATTAATTATTTAAAACAGATAAAGAGTACATATAATTATGGTTTGACCTTTATGATTTATTTGATAAGTTTGTATACGATAATAATATTACTTTACCTATTTATTTGTCAAAATAATATTTCATTATTATTTGAATTAAAGATATTATTCAACTGTTGTTCTTAATTTTTTAATCTATACAGTATTAATTTGTTTTATAATATTATATCATCTGCATTTGTATTTCTCAACATTATTTTGTTGTTATTTTAATGATATTAATATTTGCGAGATGAAAATAAAAACTGGGTCCTCTAATTGACATCGAAAGAACAACTGGGCCCTCTAATTCAAGAAAATTCACCACGTATCCACCAAGTCAACTTGACTTGCGATTACCTGAGAGTCCAGGCCCAATTAGCATTTGTTGACCATACAATACTTAGATTAGTATTGACTATTGACCTTTTAGACAACAAAAAAATAGCGTTGACCCAAAAAAAAAACTTAAATCAGTAAATATATGTTGATGAAATAAAAAAGAATAAAGATTAGTAAATATATAACAAATACGATCGGAACGTGAACAAAAAACTAAGAAGCACTTAATTTGTTCACGGACTCAATGAAGAGGAGAGTTAACGGACTCAATGAAGAGGAGAGTTACTAATACATAGTAAGAAAGAGTAAGAAAGTTGTCCGAAAATGAAAAAAGATTTGTTTGTTTTAAGTTGTAAAATTAATTATTTTATTTTTAAGGTAAAAATATTTATTTTGAAAAAAAAAGTAATTTGGATTCATTTGTAGATACATTTTAATTATTTTCTTTGATGCACAATTAATTTTAATATTTTTAAATTAAATGAATGGGGAAGACTTATGATAGAACTTTGAAAATATTAACTTAGTAATTATTAAAAAAATATAAGTCGTCACCGTATTTTCTTGGAGCCTTCTCGGATCCAATTGTGTGATATTTTCTGTGGAAAAAAAAATCATTTTTTCGAAAAAGAAAAAGAAAAACATGACAAATTATATTACGCGTTAAAAAAAAGCACATTATAAATAGACGAATATACAGAACACAGTATGTGACTGAGGCAAAAGGTCTTTGTACTGGTAGAACAGAAGAAAGATGGAAGAGAGTGTATCGCTAATAAGAAAAGAGAGCAGTGAGAAGAAGATAATAAGATGGAAAGGATGGAGTGAAGAAATGAAGAGGATCATTGAGATAGCAGGGCCTATGGTGGCTGTGAGTGCTTCCCAATATTTGCTGCAAGTTGTGTCAATAATGCTGGTCGGTCATCTCAACAATGATCTCTATCTCTCCAGCGCCGCCTTGGCCATCTCTCTTGCTACTGTCTCTGGTTTCAGTCTTCTTGTAAGCTCAATTATCTTTTTCTCTCTCCTCCATTCATTATTACTATCGTTTCATCTCAAAACTTTAGTCTCTGGTCCCCACGTTTAATATTAGCACGTAAATGTGAAAAGTCATACTAATTGGGAGAGTTGCTAAATAATTATAACTTAATTTAAATGTCCAGATATATTTAAACACGCATCTGTTTTAATTATTGATTAAAAAAATATTCATTTTCTAATAATTAATATAAAATTATATTTATTATGCATTCTAATTAATTGATAGCATAATTTTTTTTATATTGACAATGTAATAAAATTAAATAAATAATTTAATAAATGCTTTTTCTTTCTTGTGATATCTCATGCCGAGAATATATTAAAATTTTGAGATTAGGAATTAGGGGGTTTAGTGTATCTTTTATGAACTCTGCCCTCTATTTTTCTACTGCGTTCTAATTATCTTATTTAAAAGATAACAGAATAGTTTATATAAAAATTACTTGAAATCTCAACTTGTGGAGTGATTTTTCCGAAATTAAAATCATATTTTTATTATCCTAGGGGATCGTTATTCGTTATCTTTTTTGCTCTTTCTCTATGCTACTCTGTTGCTTCTAATTGTATAACTTGTTTAGCAATGATTCCTTAAGAATTAAAGATGCTATAACTAGAACTACAGTCTAACATTATTAATGAGGTACAAATCAACGAAACTAAAAGGTATCAATGAAGTAGAATTATTGTTTGAGAGTAACAAGTTTATATTCTTTATCAACTATTTCTAAGATGTTGGCTCGCTCATAATAATCATTATTTTATTCCCCTAGTAACTTAGTGCAATGGTAATTTGCGCATGCTAATAGACAGGAATGGCTAGTGGACTGGAAACAATTTGTGGACAGGCTTATGGAGCTCAGCAATACCAAAGAATTGGAATACAAACATATAATGCTATATTCTCCCTCTTATTCGTTTGTCTTCCCCTGTCTTTCCTTTGGATCAGCATGGAAAGGATACTAGTTTCCATTGGCCAGGACCCTCAAATTGCACATGAAGCAGGGAAATTCATAATTTGGCTTCTTCCAGCACTCTTTGCTCATGCAATTCTGCAGCCATTAGTTCGATATTTCCAGATGCAAAGTTTGCTTCTTCCCATGCTTATAAGTTCTTTTGTCACTCTTTTTATTCACATACCTCTTTGCTGGGCATTGGTATTCATGACTAGACTGAATAATGTTGGTGGAGCATTAGCAATGAGCATTTCAATATGGTCAAATGTGATTTTTCTTGGATTATACATGAGATACTCTTCTGCATGTGCAAAAACCCGTACACCAATTTCTATGGAGCTGTTCCAAGGAACTGGAGAGTTCTTTCGTTTTGCTATCCCTTCTGCAGTAATGATTTGGTGATTTATCTTCCCGCTCAACTATATTCATTTTGTCAAATTATGAAGTGTTTATTTGTCCTAAAAACAGTTTCTAATGTATTTTTTTTTTCATGTTGATTACTGTAGCCTTGAATGGTGGTCGTTTGAAATGCTTATCTTGCTGTCTGGGCTGTTACCAAATCCAAAACTCGAGACTTCAGTTTTATCCATTTGGTATGTTTGTTAAATTTTGTTGTTTTCTTTTTAAAACAAACATATAAAGATTTTGTAAATTAATGTGATTGTGCTAATTCTCTGTCATTTTTGTACAGTCTCAACACCATTTCAACTCTCTATACAATACCCTTTGGAATTGGTGCTGCAGCTAGGTGCCATAAACATATTCATTCTACGTATTTTACGTGTCACACCTTTGAGCCTACATCTAAACTAGTTATCATTTTCCTCTCTCATTGTAGCACTAGGGTTTCAAATGAATTAGGATCTGGGAATCCACATGCTGCCCGTGTTGCTGTGTTGGCTGCAATGTCTTTTGCAGTCATGGAAACAGCTGTAGTAAGCGGTACACTTTTTGCCTGTCGCCATGTTTTTGGTTATATTTTCAGCAATGAGAAGGAAGTTGTTGATTATGTCACTATCATGGCTCCTTTGATATGCATATCTGTTATATTGGACAGTATACAAGGTGTTCTTTCAGGTAAACTTCCCTCTATTCTTAGATAGACTTCATATGGAATACAAACATTCTCAGCTTGTTTTACAATTGTTTGGCTCAGGGATTGCTAGAGGTTGTGGATGGCAACACATAGGGGTTTATGTCAATCTAGGTGCCTTCTACCTCTGTGGGATTCCATTTTCTGCCACATTGGCATTTTGGGTACAGCTGGGAGGAAAAGGACTTTGGATGGGTGTACAAGTCGGTGCTTTTGTTCAATGTGTTCTACTTTCTATCATAACCAGTTGCATAAATTGGGAACAGCAGGTAAATATGCTCTCTAACCTTTGTCTTAAAAAGTTAAAATCCCAAATTTCAAGTTTATTATGAATAGTGGTTTCACGAAGTTAAAAAGGACAATAAAGTATATCGTTCATCATCTGGTTACCAGTTTGATGTTGCTAGAGAAAACTGAATGTTGTTGTTGATGTGGTATCCCCCATTAGGCATTTTGTTTGAATTGTGTGGAATTACTGATGCAGGCAATCAAGGCAAGAAAGAGGTTATTTGATGGCCAATTTTCAGCAGACAATAGACTGGTTTGAGAAGGCTATAGGAACATTTTGTGCTCTCAATTAGTAATATTATTCAACACACGTGCATTTCTAGATGGGACCTAACTTCAGGAAGTAGCACATTGCGAGTTGACTCCTATAATTGGGAGACAGTTTGATCTTGCAATGAGTATCAAAGAATAATAATTTAGTGGAAAACGAAAGAGAGAATGTTTTAATTCTCATTGATATTATTGTAAGAGCAAATTCTGCTCGAGGTATGTCCATCACTAATATGTAAACGTTTCTTTTGGTAACTGTAATTTGCTATTTGTGAGAGATTAGTCATTTCCCATATACTCGAATCCATTGATTAACAAGAGAAAATGTTTGTGTCTACAACAATGGGACTTCTCATTTCAGCAACAACGACATGTCTTACTCTTTCAAGCTTACAAACCTGATAAGTTGAGCAAGCACTTGATAGTCGAATACTCAAGGAGAGTAATCTCACTAGCTGGACATATATCAAGGTAAATTATTTGAGAAATTTTTAAATATCATGACTTATGAGTTTTATGGTATAAAAGGATAGATTTTAATTCAAATAATAACTTTGTTATGTCGTACTGTCTAAATGTCTAATACATTTGAATAAATAAATTATATGATTTTGTTACACAATAGCATAAGATGTAATAATATATGAAAAGCTTCGTTATATAATGTCAAGTAATGTTTATTTGAAAGGTTGAGTGATATAAGTATTGTATTGCAGTAATTATCATTGTTGTAAAAGTAAATTTTGGTAGATCCTTTGTATAATTCAATATTATATCAGCTTTGCTGTATCTTTATGATAATTTTTTTTCTATTTTATAAAGTAAGTATTAAATGAATATGTTGATTTGTTATTATATTAAAAATATAAAATATATTAAATACTTTTTTATTTAATATATTTGGAAGATTTGTAGAAATAAAAAGTAGGAGAATTTATAATTAGTTATATTATATTTGCTTTGTAAAGTTAAAATAGCCGTGTATATAAATTTGTGTATTAAAAATTACAAAAATATGAAAAGGGAAATATTAATTTAAAAGTGAGAAATAATAAGATCTATATAATTTTAAATTTTTAATAAATTTTAACTACTACCTAAAAATATTTTTAAAAATTATCTTCCTTCTTTATAGGCTAGCGAGAAACATTGCCATATTCAAACAGTAAAAAATTTTCCCCAAAACAAATCTATTGTAGTAAAACTGAGTTGATAACATAATGACTATGGTTATAAATGTTGCAAAATCGAGTACAACGTCAAGTTTTATTCCAATGATGGTGAGACAAGTTATGAAAATTAACAATTTTAATTATACGATAATTTATCTTTAAACAGTAATGTAAAAATGATTAAAACTATGATAGATTTCAATCTTCTTATTATATTACCAAGAAAAAAAACATAATAAATATGTTATAAAAAATGATAACGACAAGGAGCTGCGACAAATGAGCAAAAACACAGGAGGTGGTCCTCCCTCTTCTGCCATCCAATAAGGAAGAAGCAAAATCCAACACATATACTCACTCATAGTGTTGGAGACGTAATTGCCTTTACCTGATCCCTTTTCATAATTGATTCACTATTTCACCATTACAATAATCTATAATTCAATATTTGCGGCCACATAATATTTCATATTTACAATATACATTTTCACAATTTTACGATTTTAATTGCTAAAAAAATGATATTATATATTTTAATTAATATACATATATTATACACATTTTTTAAATATATTATAAATATCTAAAAATGTCCTAATAATACAATATTTTTCCTGATATCACCGTATAAAAAAAATGAAAAAAAAAGTTATTGGGGATGTTTCAATCATTCCAAATTATTCGAAATAGAATCATAAAAAAAACGAGTAAAAGTTCTAGTCAAATCAGTTACCAAGGATATAATTATTGATTTTCTTAATTATTAAAATTACTAAAAATAATAATCTTTACAATTGACTGACATTTTGATCCTTTACTTTAGTACGTGACGGCCAATTTGTCTTTAACCTTAAAAATTAAATTAATCAATGATTGTTAAATTTCTAAAGTAAATGACCAATGATATTAATTTTGCTGAGTAAATCAACCAACATTTATTAAAGTCTGACACTAAATTTTCTTTTCAGTCACCGTGCAATTATGCTATTTTCAATCAGAAGAAAAATAACTATTTTAAAATAAAAGTTGAACATAGGCCTGCAACAAATGAGTGCATACAGTTTCAGCGTAAATGACAATTTAGCTTATTATTTATTTATTTTAAAGTTACAAAAGTATTTTTAATTATAAAAAATACTTTTTGATATAAATATATAATATTTAAATTAAATTAAGTATATATTTTAATTACATTCAATAATTCAAAATTAATTTTCTACAGTTTCGCATAGCAACGGATAGGATTTTACTAATTTTTTTGAGTTGTTTAGCAAATTTTTAACCACGTAGTAACGCTTTAATGCATTATACAATAAATTAAATTATTTTTATAATAAATAATTTAAATAAACTTAAAAAAGAGTGAATATTACTGTATTAAAAATAGAAATAGATATAAAAAATTTAAAAATATAGATAATATAAAAACAAATTAATTCTTAAAAAAATCGCTTCTTTAAAAATATTCTTAAGAATGCTCGTTAATATTAACAATTTACATATAAAAGTTATTTTTTTTAAAGGGTCTGTGATTCATTGAAAGTGATGGGAAGAACAGGTGACTGGGTTCAATTTTAAAAATTACGATTAAAAGAAGAAAGACGGTTTTTTTTTCAGAAAAGGAAGTAAAAGATAAGGTAATGTTAATGTTAGTAATGGATATTAGTGATGATTTGGAAGAGTTAGTGCATGTGAGTGTCAGCGTATTTCCTCCATATATTTATATTTATATTCCAAACTATGCTATTCCAAGTTTTTGTATGGACTCTCGTGGAAGGTACTGAGTCATAATTTAGTGACTAAAAACAAAAAAAGAATGTAATATATTATATAAAATGCGTTCAAACCCCAAAAAGGAGGACCAAAGATCTGTCTTACCGTCTCACATCTCTTTTTTTTCCGATTCTGGATTGATAGCACAGAAAAACATGGAAGAGAATTTACTAGAAAAACATGTGGAACAACAAAGAGTTACATGGCATGCTTTCAGTGAAGAAATGAAGAGGATCTGCTGTGTAGCAGGGCCTATGGTGGCTGTGATCTCTTCACAATATTTATTGCAAGTTGTGTCAACAATGATAGTGGGTCATCTGGGTGAACTTTATCTCTCTAGCGCCGCCTTAGCCATATCCCTTGCTGGGGTCACTGGTTTTAGTCTTCTTGTATGCTACTTACTACTTACCACTCCGTCACTTCTTTTACTGCTTCTGATTATTTCTTGTTATTTAATTTTGTTACTATATATTTTTGAAAAGGGTGTTCCGTCTCTTGTTGCTTTGAATCTGATATAATGGCTAAATGAGAGAGTTTTGTTTCTACATTTATGACTCTCTTCACTTGTATTTTCTAATGAGCACTACCCTTTGAGGAAGAAAGAGAATTGTGATAACGTTGACTAGAAGTACTACAATTGATACAAAAATAAGTTGAGCAAGGGATAAGTGAAATTGACTTGTATGCTTCATGTCACAAGGTTTTGGATTAGATGTAGTATAAAGTTTACATGAGTAGTTTGCTAGTGATCGTTGATGGAAATCTTTCTGGTATTTTAATCCTCTTGTATATTCTGAAAACTATATATAATGGGAGACTCTAGTAACCCAGGAAAATATGGTGTTTCATTTATGAACTTTGCATTACTAGCTTATTGAAATTATACTCAGAGGAAAAAGAAACAACATTAGAGCTACTAAACTTTCAATGGATAATCTATTAGATATATAAAATTCTTCGAAAAGAAAGAAAGCAACAGTGAAACACGCATCCAGTTTACCACACCACCAGCACCCCAAAAACAAGAATAAAACAGAACAAAAAAAACACTAGCTGCTATCTTACGGATAGAACTATGATATTACGTTTAGTGTTGAATTGACATTTGACACAAACGAAAGAGAATGCTTGTGTTTAGTAATCAGTTTATCTTCTTTAACAACTATTTCTAGAATGTTAGCCTGCTCAAAATTATCGTTATTTTCTTCTCCCAGTAACTTAGTGCATTGATAATGTGCATGTGCTAATAGATGGGAATGGCTAGTGGATTGGAAACAATTTGTGGACAGGCTTATGGAGCTCAGCAATATCAAAGAATTGGAATGCAAACATACAGTGCTATATTTTCTCTAGTATTGGTTTGTCTTCCCCTGTCTCTCCTTTGGATCAACATTGAAAAGATACTAGTTTTCATAGGCCAGGACCCTCTAATTTCCCATGAAGCAGGGAAGTTCACAGTTTGGCTTATTCCAGCACTTTTTGCATATGCAATTCTGCAGCCATTAGTTCGATATTTCCAAATGCAAAGTTTGCTTCTTCCCATGTTCACAATTTCTTGTGTCACTCTCTCCGTCCATATACCTCTTTGTTGGGCATTGGTTTTTAAGACTGGACTGAAAAATGTTGGTGGAGCTTTAGCTGTTAGCATTTCATTATGGTCAAATGTGATCTTTCTTGGATTATACATGAGATACTCTTCTGCATGTGCAAAAACACGCGCACCCATTTCTGTGGAGATGTTCAAAGGAATTTGGGAGTTCTTCCGTTTTGCTATCCCTTCTGCAATAATGATTTGGTGATTTTTCTTACTTTTCAACTGAATTTTCACATATTCATATTATCAAGTAATTAAAAAGTTTCCTTTTCCCACAAATTTCTACAACGTATGTATTGTTTTTCCATAAAAAGTCTGTAATGTATTTTTTGTTTTCTACATGTTGATGGCTGTAGCCTTGAATGGTGGTCATTTGAGCTGCTAGTCTTGCTGTCTGGGCTGTTACCTAACCCACAACTTGAAACTTCAGTTCTATCCGTTTGGTATGTATGCTACATTTATGCTTTTCTTTTTAACCCAATGTATGATACTTTATAGGTCCCCTTTTAAACTGCAATTCATGATCCACAATTTCATTTTGCTACTAATCTTCTCTTTGGAGATTTTGTAAATTAATGTGATTGTACTTATTCTGTCATTTTTCTACAGTCTCAACACCATTTCGACTCTCTACACAATACCCTTTGGAATTGGTGCTGCTGCAAGGTTACATCATAGACACATTCATTCAACATATGCCATATGTCACTCCTTTGAGCACATATCTAAACTAATTATCGTCTCTCCTCTCTAATTATAGCACAAGGGTTTCAAATGAATTAGGAGCGGGGAATTCACATGGTGCCCGTGTAGCTGTGTTAGCAGCAATGTCTCTTGCAGTGATGGAGACAAGTGTAGTAAGCGCAACCCTCTTTGCATGCCGCCATGTTTTTGGCTACATTTTCAGCAACGAGAAAGAAGTTGTTGATTATGTCACTGTCATGGCCCCTTTGGTTTGTATATCTGTTATACTAGACAGCATACAAGGTGTTCTCACAGGTAAACTTTCCTGTTGAATGTCCTTAAGTAAATTTTTATACAGAAGACAGGTTTTAACTTTTAACTAAATTTTATTAACAAATATTTGGTTCAGGATTTGCTAGAGGTTGTGGATGGCAACACCTAGGGGTTTTTGTCAATCTAGGGGCCTTTTACCTCTGTGGGATACCAATTGCTGCCTTATTGGCATTTTTTGTGCAACTTAGAGGAATAGGGCTTTGGATTGGTATACAAAGTGGCTCTTTTGTTCAAACTGTTCTACTTGCTATCATAACCGGTTGCATAAATTGGGAACAACAGGTATACCCTCAAACCCTTTGTTTTATAACCCCAAATTCCAACTTTACTATTCTTGATTTCATGGAGTTAAAAGCACAATCAAGTATAACATTTTATCTTCTTGATTTTGCTTAATAAAATTGAATTCCCTTGTTGAGGTAGCATATCCCTAGACATTTTGTTTCAATTGTGTGGTCTTGCTAATGCAGGCGACCAAGGCAAGAAAGAGATTATTTGCTGCTCAAATTTCATCGGACAACAATATATTGGTATGAGAAACCCTTAATCAAAGACCATTTTCCTAAAGATGGATTGGGGACAATTCTCCATGAGTGAGGAGTAGGAATTTATTCCCTTTACTGACTGAAAGTTTGGAAGTATAATGAGGTTTTGGTTTTTTGGCGTGGTTCTACATTTGTGCTTCTGACAAGAATAACCTTAGAACATTAACTAGATCTTATCTATGGCTTTTTTATTTAAATAATACTTATTTAAAAACAAATTCTTAAAATAAGATTTATTCTAAACTATTTTTTTATCCGGGGCTTTTTTTTGCCAAAGTAGCAGTAGTATCGCACATGCATAGATGATAGTAAATTTTTATTATTATTTTAATAGAGTATCGTTCCAATATTACTGATACTACACCAAAAATCGACACTTGTCAAAATCGCATGAGTATCGGACAAAATGAAACGATAACATATTTTTTTTATTATTTTAATATATTATCGTCGTCCAGCATTCGAAACTCATGTTTTTTTAATCAATTTTAATACTATCGTTTGCAGATTAACTGATACTCATTTTTTATTATTATTTTAATATTTCGCCACAAAAATTAGGAAATATGACTTCTTAGAGCAGTTCCTTATGAACCGCTCTCATAACTCTATTTTAGAGAGCGGTTCCGTATGAATCGCTCTCAAAAGTCATGTTTTTTTATTTACTTTTTTAAGGAACCGCTCTAGTTTACGATTCGACACGTGGCATATTTGTTTCTGTTTTCAAAAATATTTTTCTTTTTTTTTTTCAAAATGAAACTATTTTACATGAAAAAAAATTGTAACAAATATTGTGTTGCTAACTTAAAAATATGGTGATACACACTTTTATAAATAATTTAGAACTTATAAAATGAGAGTATTTTTATGAATTTTTTTTCTGTTAAGCTGCATAGGTTCTTTTTTGAGGTTAGACAACAAATATTTTTTTTTTATTGGAAATAATCAGTTAAGTAAATTATTATGGACGACAAAATTATCTTTTTAAGTATTTATTATAATTGAATTAATCAGATTCAAACTTTAAGTTGTATAGATTCTAATAATCTAATTTTTTTTAATTTTAAAATTTAAATACACAACATCAAATTAAAAATTATTTTAATCTTAATTTAAAATTAATTTTTAAAGTTTGAAATTTCACACAATATTACAATATAACTTTTGTAATTTATTTTAATTTTAAATTATTCATTAAATATATATATATATTAAACTTGCAACAGCTGATTGATATGATAAGATATTTGGTATTTTGAATTAGCTTGTATTATATTTATTATATATGATAATATGTTCTAATTTTGTAAGTAATTGGATGATACTGAATTTGAATTTACAACTATACCAATTAGACGAAACAACAAAATTGATACGATTGAATCAAATAATAAAAAAAATACTTGAACCGCTCTCTAAAATATAATTATGAGAGCGGTTCATAAGGAACCGCTCTAAGAAGTCATGCGAAATATTAAAATAATAATAAAAAATGAGTATCGGTTAATCTGCAACGATAGTATTAAAATTAATTAAAAAAACATGAGTTTCGAATGCTGGACGACAATAATATATTAAAATAATAATAAAAATATGTTATCGTTTCATTTTGTCTGATACTCATGCGATTTTGACAAGTGTCGATTTTTGGTGTAGTATTGGTAATATTGGAATGATACTCTATTAAAATAATAATAAAAATTTACTATCGTCTATGCATGTGCGATACTGTTGCTGATTTGACAAAAAAAAAGCCCCAAACAAAGAAATAGTTTAAAATAAATCTTATTTTAAGAATTTATTTTTAAATAAGTATTATTTAAATAAAAAAGCCCTTATCTATAGGGTAATGATCTTAAAATATGATTAAATATTTATATTTACTTTCTCTCTCTCTCTTATCTATTTATTTTTCTGTTACGTCGCTTGTCAAATTTTTTTTTTCTCCTTTTCTTCTTCAATGATACTTTCCCATACGATAAAAGGACTCTACGTTAGTATATAAGATAAATTGCCTCGCAACGTTCGAATCATCTTCTTTGTCTGATGTATAATCCGGATGGGTTAATGAAGGTAAATTTGTTCGAATGGACTTTTCTTTATGATTAGGAGATACCCGTAATCATGAATATTCGATATGTAAAATTATTTAAATCCTCCTAATTATTTATATAAAAAATTAATGCGATTAACATATATTAGTAACCTTTTAAATAAGTTTGAGTTTTTAAATACTTAGATTTTCCTAATAAGTGAATAAATATCTATTAATATATGTAAAATTCACATGAACATTAATGATGGATGATATTCATAGTTCCCTGCGTGCCATCTTAGGAACAGGAGTAGTTAGTGATAGTGGGGATTAAGTGCAATCGACGAAACCCGAGAAAATGCAAATGGAGAATGAGTAGCTCCACACCTCTGATTTAGGAGGAGGCCCAAGGGTCTGAAATGACTCCCCATGGATGCTGCTCGAGTTTGCTTGTTAGGTGCAATGCCTTTTGCAGTGATGGATACAAACGAGAGGGACCATAAATTTTTGAAAAAAGTTATTGTAGATCTCTTGTTAAAAATTTTATTCACAAATTATAAATAAAAATTAATTATATTTTTATACTAACATACTCTTTTTTTTTTTTTCATCTATTATGCTCCATTTCAAGGATGTGAACAAATTATTTTCTAATTTCATTTGTTTAGTTTATTTTGAACTTTAAGTACTCGTGAGTAGTTAATCTGAATAGAACCAAAATGAAATAATTTGGGTTGTGTATTTGGATAAATTTTTTATTTTACAAATTTCATTAAAATATCATTAGAAAATGAAAAAAAAAATTAAAAGAATTGAGACCAAAACACGCGTCGGTCTTAATAATATCTAAAAGTTAATTAAAAGACGTAAATGAAAAAGTGATTGTTTCTAGGAGATGAAAATCTGGAATACAAAACATATTCGAAGTAAACATAAAATTTGGAGGGAAGAATATTTTAGGCTTTTTTATTTAAATAATACCTTTTTAAAAATAATTTCTTAAAATAAGTATATTTTAAAATTAATTCTTTGTCTAGTACTTTTTTTGCTAACTCAGTAGCAATATTATCAATATTATCGATACTACATTTGTGACACTTGTCAAAATCGCATAAGTATCAAACAAAATAAAATGATAATACTTTTTTATTATTATTTTAATACATTATCGTCGTACAGCATTTAATATTCATATTTTTTTAATTAATTTTAATATTATCATTATAAATTAACTAATATTTATTATTTTATTATTATTTTAAAATTTTATCGCCTCCAAACTTCCAATGGTCATAATTTGTAATAGATGAGGAGCTGCATCTATTTTCGTTAATTTGGGATTCCTCTAGCATATTGGATTAGACATATCATAATGCATTTGGAATAGCACCTAAATGTGGATTCATCTAGGTCATACATGGATCTTCCCTGCGACGCAACTGCACCACACACCACACTTCATACATGGATATGTTTAATTTTTTTTTTCTCTTCGTTTGATCATTTCTTATAGTCTAAGCACAGGATGCATAATATCAGTGTTTGCTGTCATTCTTTTATTAATTTAATTAATCAATAAAAATATTTTATATAAAATTATTTAATAATAATAATAATTTTAAAGTCACAATAGACTCTTTCGTAATAAAAAAATGATGCTTTTAACGAATTAGTAAAAAAATACATTTTAAACTGTTGTGCAGCTTTGAAGTGTGGTATTTTATGAATATGTTTTTTAAAACACACTCCTTTGATATTTTATTAATATTACAACGCTAATTTTGTAAATTAATTAATTTTTTCAAAAATTTTAAAACCAGATAATTACAAAAGTATGTAAAGAATATATTACTAATTTTTATTATCTTTTTCTTCAAAATATTTATTTATTCATCTTTTCTAAAAAGATTAGATTTTATGGATGAATATTTTAATAATAAGAGTTATATTTTTATATTTTTTATTTTTCACCTTATTTGACTTTTTGTCTCTTTTTTTACATTGTATTTTTTTGTCTTTTTCCCTTTTTTTTTATCATCTTATACATTTTAAATATTAAGTATACAACAGATAATAAATATTCTTTAAGCTTAAAAAGTTAGCATGTGTACAGTGATATATTATTTTTGTGTTTAACTTTCACAGTTAATTTTTCCTTCACATAATTGTGTATCTGGTGGAAGAATTGATGGCTACTCCTTTCATGGGAATAATCCTTCCTTGTGATACAATTGCAGCATATATCATATTTTAGTGTTATATATTACTAGTGACAAATTGAGTATAAGAAGTTTTGAGACGATAGAATTTTAAAATAATAATAAAAGAATGGGTATCGATTAATTTGTAACGATTGTATTAAAATTGATTAAAAAATATAAGTACTGCATTTTTATTTACTTTTATTTTTTTATTTTTTTTCCATCATTCCTTGTATGATGATAATGTATTAAAATAATAATAAAAATGTATTATCGTTTCATTTTATCCGATACTCATGCGATTTTAACAAATATTAATTTTTAGTATAATATCAGTAATATTAAAATGATACTCTATTAAAATAATAATAAAAATTTATTATTGTCTATGTGCGATACTGCTGCTGCATTGACAAAAAAAAAAAATTAGACAAAGAATTAGTTTTAAAATATACTAAATTGTTTTTAAAAAAGCATTATTTAAATAAAAAAGCCAATATTTTATGTACCATCAACAATAAATATTGAAAAGTGTATCTTTGATAATTAAATTAATTTTTTTAATACATAACAATAATAAAAAAATAAAATAACAATACACAATGCAATGTCATCTTTTGGTTTAATTTTTTAACATTTTAATTCAAATTGATTTATTAATTAAAAGTACAATTGCTATCATGCAACTTCTGGCAAATCCAACTCGATCTGGAATTCAAAGACGTTATTATAATGTAAACGTCACACTTCCATTACTTCATTTCGTGTCAGGCCAAATTGCCCCATTATTCAAAACACTGACACATTTTCATACCAACTTTATATTTTTACATTTATTTATTACCGCGTTGTTCATCTATATTACTTTTTTTTTCTTAATGTACTTCTTTTTCAGTCATTTTACACCCATTGTAAGGTTGGAGGGGAACAATCATTTTCCTTTGCAAGTTAACCAAATAGGCAATCATTGTACTATCACAAACCCTATTCATAGCAAACACAAGCACTTATATAAAGACACTTACATTTAAACGTTTAGCATAGCATGCAAAACACCAAGGCTGTGATATTTCTATAAGTTTTGTAAAGGGTGCAAGGCTCTTGTGAATCACAGAGAAGATATGGAGAAGGAACTCTTAGGGAAGGAAAACGAGGCAGTGGGTGGTTTAGGTTCAGGCATAACATGGAGTGTTTTTGTTCAAGAGGTGAAAGGGGTTGGTTATCTAGCGGGGCCTATGATTACTGTCAATTTGTCACTATATTTTCTACAAATAGTTTCATTGATGATGGTGGGTCACTTGGGTAAGCTTGCTCTCTCTAGCACAGCCATTGCCATATCTATCGGTGCTGTCTCTGGCTTCAGTGTTATTGTAAGTCTCCTTTTCGCATGTCTTGTGTTTCTTTCACTTTAACTATTGCCTTCTTTTATTTTAAGAGCTACAATTGCATTGCACTCAATCAGTAGGAAACTGTTGTTTGTCAAAGGAGGGAAAATTGTTTTTGTTGTGAGTTATGTTGGTGAGCTAATTGTACTTAATATTTTGTGCATGTCAAACAGTTTGGAATGTCATGTGCATTGGAAACTCAATGTGGGCAAGCATATGGAGCCCAGCAATACGAAAAATATGGTGTTCAAATTTATACTGCTATTGTTTCTCTTAATTTAGTTTGTGTTCCTCTGTCTGTTTTGTGGATCTATTTGGAGAATCTACTCATTTTACTTGGGCAAGACCCTTTGATTTCACAAGAAGCTGGAAAATTTGCTGTGTGCATGATCCCTGCTCTCTTTGCTTATGCAAACCTTCAATCCATGATTCGGTTCTTTCTGATGCAAAGCTTGATCAGTCCCCTTGTCATAAGTTCCTCCATTACTCTTTGCTTCCATTTGGTTTTCTGTTGGTTACTAGTTTTTAAATCTGGATTTGGTAACCTAGGAGCAGCATTTGCTATTGGTACTTCATACTGGTTAAATGTACTTTTACTTGGATTACATATGAAGTTCTCTGCTAAATGTGAAAGGACACGCGTCCCAATTTCGATGGAACTATTTCATGGGATTGGAGAATTCTTCCGCATTGCTATTCCTTCAGCTGTAATGATTTGGTGACTTTCCTCCTCTTTACATCTGATCCTTTTATATTGTGTTTTTATAGCCCCTTCAATTTTCAACCATGGTTTGTTTCTGGTAATATTTGATCATCATTGCAGCCTTGAATGGTGGTCCTTTGAGCTGGTAATCTTGCTCTCTGGTCTTCTACCAAATCCAGAACTTGAAACTTCAGTCTTATCCATATGGTAGAACGTTTCTTAGTCTTTCAAATTTGAATGACATTATGTATTTAAAAATCTATATTGAACTTGTTACAAATAGCCTAATATTGATTTCCACTCATATAATTCGTGCTAATTTGTTGTTTAAATGTTCACTATTTTCTTATCAGTGTATCAGTCACCACAACAATCTACACAATCCCAGAATCAATTGGCTCAGCTGCTAGGTTTTGATTCTTACAAGTCATAACTTCATTAATTTGCAACTATACTTATTCATGTACAATAGTAGTGAAGAATTTATTTTTTTTCCTCTTTCTGATTGGTTTCTCTTTTGGGTGGGTTTTTCAGCACTAGAGTTTCAAATGCTTTAGGAGCTGGAAGTCCACAAGCAGCACAAGTATCTGTTGCTGCTGCTATGACTCTTGCAGCTTCTGAGGCAGTTCTGGTGAGCTCAATCATTTTTGCCTGCAGGAAGGTTTTAGGTTATGTATTTAGCAATGAGCAAGATGTGGTGGATTATGTCGCAGATATTGTTCCTCTTTTAAGTCTATCTGTTATATTTGACACTTTACATGGCACCCTTTCAGGTTGGCTATTTGTTCTCTATATTATTCAATGCACAATACTTACACTCTTTTTATGCAAATATGCAATTGAGTCTGAGTTGTGCCATGAAATGTAACACTTTAATACCTGTTCTTTATAGGTATTGCTAGAGGATGTGGGTGGCAGCACTTAGGAGCATATGTGAACCTTGGAGCTTATTATGGTTTGGGAATTCCAATTGCTGCAATATTGGGTTTCTGGGTACAATTAAGAGGAAAAGGCCTGTGGATTGGAATAATCACTGGTGCATTATGCCAAACAGTTCTGCTATCTCTCATAACAAGTTGTACAAACTGGAAAAAACAGGTTTGCCTCCACTTCCAAGTCATAGAACATCACTTTTCACAATGTTATGCCTTCTCTCATATAGTAACAAACTAATTTCTTTTAACTTACCTTTACTCAAAGAAAAACTGCATCTTAAGCCATGCAACCTTTTTTAATATTTTACCCAAGTACTACTAATTTTTCCCCCCTCAAAGAATACATTATTTTAGTTTCTTAAAAAAATTGTTTTAATATTTAATTTTTCCAAATTCAACACTTTTAGTCTCTTTCACTAACATGACTCAATAAAAAATTAAGACATGATAACTTCTTAGTTAATAATACTATTACTCATAGACCAAAAGCATTGAACTTTAAAAAAATCAAGAACTAGAATGAATTTTTTATAAATTAAATCAAAATCTTTCTTAAAATTATAAAAAAGAATTTTGGTCCCTAAAATTATCAAACAACAGTAATTATAATTCCCTGAGACTATTAAACGACAATTGTTTTAGTCCAATGTTGCAAAAATATGACCAATTAAAAATTAAATTTTTGTAATTTCAGGTGATAAATTAAAGGATGTTTGTATTTTAGAGACTAAGTTATTGTATTATTATTATTGATATTTTTGGTGTACACATCACACATGTACTCATTTGCAGGCAATTAAAGCACGGGAAAGGTTATTTCAGGGAAGTTTAGCAGTAGAAGATAGATTAGTTTAAGACTATAATTAAGCAGATGGAGAAGAATTCTAAAAGCTATCAGTTTGTTTAGTTGGTATTAGTAAAGCCTCTAGCTTTGGCTGCGGAATATATCAAATTTTAGTCACATTGAGGAAGAAATGGTTTTCATGCCAACAACAGTGTCATCAATGCACAAGTCTTTTTTTTCTCAATCCAAAGTTAGTTAAGGTTCTCTCATGTGAAGTAAAAGCAATTGGATGTGTGGAAAATTGCAGTAAGCATGGGTTAATAGCATTTTTAATAAATTTTAATTTCTTAAGCAGTGTTCTTAAGATAACAATTAACATTTTTCATAAATAAATATTGATTTTTTCCAATTAAAATAAACTAGTTTTAATGATTAAAAAAAGGTTAAATATTTGTCAAGCAAATATTATTAAACTCAAGTTTAAATATAAATACTATAATTTATGCCATTTAACCCCAAATGCGTATATGAATTGAAATTGTCATTTTTAATAATCTTATGTAAATAGAATGAGTAAAATTAAACAGTTGAGACGTCGTGTTCTTAATACGGTTTAAATGGTGTAATACTTTATAATCATAACTATAATGCTTGCTCGTGCAAAATGCGTTGGAGCTTCCTTTTTCTTATATTTTGGTGAGTGCTGAAACTTTCTTTTAAAATGGGAGGCAAGATCCTTAATATCTGTTGACAGTGAGAACATGAAAAAGTAGAAAACTACACTTTCGTTTATCCACGTACAACGTTTTGACTTTCCAAAATCAAACAGAAAATATTAAATACGACAAATAGTGCTTTTAGTAAAGCTTTATAGTTAGTTAAAAACGTTTTTTATTTTTGGTTGATATTGTAAATGAGTTAAAACAAATAATTGTTTGCATTATTTAATGTTATTTTAATTAGCACTCATAAAATAAAAATATGTTTTTAGTTATTAGCTAGGAGTATTTTATTTTTAATATTTTTGAGAAATTTCTCTTTTATTCATTTAATTTTTAAAACCTTTATGTTTTTTTTGTCACATTCAACTGTTTCAATTTATTTTTATCACTTTCTCTTGATCACACTATTTTGTGATCATTTAAATGAATGTTTAATTTTTAATATAATATTTATCCTTATTGATGAAAAATTAAAATTATAAAAAATTACATCTTTTACACAAACTAATCTCTATATATAAATTATGAATACTATTTTTTTAACTAGAGTAATTTTTCAAATATTATCAAATATGAGTATTTTTGGGAACCAGTTCTTTCTGCATCGTGTTAAGCATTGTTTTTTCTATATTACGTATTTATTTTATTTTAATTTAATATTAATTTAAATTTCAGGAGAGTATTTTTAAAAATAATCACTTTTACATCATGAAAAAAAATTATATTATGCATTTAATTTTTAATTATTTAAATTATGGGGAAGAAAATATACAAATTTATTTAAAAAACTCATTGGGGATAGTGTGACTGTGTAAGTGTTATCTTGTTAGTTAGTTTTCTGAAGCCCGTAAGCGTTCTTTTTGATGGGCTGGGTATCCGTAAAAGTTTGATGGGCTTGGATGTCCAAATAGCAAACTCCCGTTATATATAAAATTAAAAATGTGAAAGAAAATGTTTGGTGATTGGCAGAGAGACAGTGGAAGGGTTTAAGCATAAGCAAAAAGCAGCGGAAGTTGGTATCTCTTTCCTAGGTTGTAGTCTTGTAGAGGAGATGCCAGTAACTGTAAGAGGAAAAGCAGAGAAAGAGAAAGAGAAGCTGAATGAAATACTGGGTTCCCTCCTCGCCACCATCAATGACACTATTCAGGTATTTCCCTTCTTCTTCCTCTCTCTTCTGTTCTCAATCACTTCACTTAATAATCTTTCTTATAGGTTTTGGATCAAAAACCGCATTCTTCTTTGCCCAAAGTCTGTTGGGAAGATGTCATTAAGATGGGTGACCAAGTTTCTAAACAGGCTACCATAGGTTCACTTTTCTCCTCTTTTATATTCTTTTCTTGGATTAGTGTTTCAGTCTTGCGTTTCTTTTTATTTGTTAGTCTACAGAGACTCATGCACTATAATTGCAATTGGAATTACGGTTCTAGGAAGATTGCATGAATGAAATCATTTAAACTGGCACGTGGGAAAGCAGAAAGATTGAGGGCATGATTGTTTTTAAAAAGAGTTTATCTGCTCTCAAGATTTCCTTCGACAATTTTTTTTAATGTATGATTGGTTCACATATGTAGGCATGACCACGAGTTTATGTAATTAAATGTATCTTTCTTCGTTCTTTTTCGTAGTGGGAATGCTTTGGAGTGGAGAAAAGCCAGAGTCCAAAGCAATTGAGGAAAACATGGAAACTTACTTCAACACTCTACAAGGTTTTCTGTTGCTTTCCCATGGCAGTAAAGTAGGTGCAGGGCCTACCTTGTCTTCCAGTGTTGATGCATCTCTGAAGCAAGTTGTTGATTCTAGCTTCAGGTTGATGAAGGGAACTGTCTCTTTTTATGGTAAAAACTCTCTCTCTCTCTCTCTCTCAAACATGCTTCTTGATACGTAGGCGATGCTAATGGTGAAGGAGAGGGCCGTTTATGATTTATTGATGTTGGCCTACCATATTTAGTTTTATTGCTCATGGCAAAATGGTGATAGACGTGTTTTTAGAGTCCTTCCGTTAACACCATGTTTTGATCATTTTCTGATAAGTTTTTATACCGTGGCTTTAGCGATGTTGAGGGTCATATCTTATAATTGATCTGCAGTGTACTCGTGCCTGGTTATGGACCTAGGATATTACACCACTAATTTGTTGTTGACCCTATAACTAAACATAATATTACTTGCAGTAACTTATTTGTCCTGATCCTGACCCTGCACTAAATTATTTCTCCAGTCTCTTATTGAATTGTTGACATTCTTCTTTCTCTTTTAATGAACACCAACAGGATCTCATGGTGAAGACCTGAAACTATCATTACCACAATTGGTTGGTGCTGTATGGGAAGCATGTTCTGCCCTTAAAAAGACTCCTATAACAAATATTACAGCCATTGGGCGAGGAATGACACAGGTTGCAGTTTCAGTGAAGGATGTTCTTCGTGAGATGAGAGAATTGAAGCTAGCTTCATCTGATGATCCAAGTGAAGATGATCTGGGGAATGACCTGTCACCTGAAGAGATGAAAGTGGCTCAATGTGCAATTGTGGTCGTCTCTGATTCGCTTTTGGTCATAAAAGAACTTATTCGCTCCATCACAGGCTTACTTAAGCAAGAAAAACCAAATGACAACAGCACTTTTGTAAATTCGCTGGAGAAGTTGTTGCAGCAGTGTCAGGAAATTGGTCGGCAGATTGATGAGATTGGATTTTGCCTTTATCCTCCACAAGGTCTTTCTTCCATAAAGGCAGCTTTGGAGAAAATCCAGAGCACTATTGATGCTGTGGAAGTGGAGCTAGGAGAACTTCATGGTACACCAGATTTATTTCAGGAGGCATGCAGTTCTTTGAGGAGTTCACTGAAACAGCTTGCTTCTGAAGTTGAAGTAGGTGGCTCTAGTGCTGCTGATATAGAAGCCAAACTGGAAAATATTACATTAACCAAATAGACTCTGGTATGTGTAGTTGGGGGGTGGGGGTGGGGGTGGAGGGTTTGAAATATATGTGCAATGAATTCGATGTTGTAGAAACTATAAAACGATTCCTTTGATCTATAATTCTATACACGGAGAGGTACTTCTGTTTCTGGTCAATCCCTGATTTGATTTATAATTATAGTTACTAAGGAATGTCGTTACTCATTATCTATCATGAGATTTCTGCTGAATACTATCATTAAAATAGAATTGGAATTGCCGTCCAAATTTAAGATTTTAACTATAACTCCATCAAAATGGAATTAGTTTAGTTCGGACTACAAAAAGAAAATGTAAATAATCTTAAATTCATTTATAATTATATTTTACATGTATGATATTTAAAATTAGTTTTATTATTATCATAATTTTGAAGTTACTTAAATTTTTGAGAATATCGACAACTGAAATTATGTCTTGAGCTTTATTAATTACTGACCAAATTGGTGATGAGATTCAGCTTGAATGGCTGTATTTACTTATTTTATAATTTTTTATTGGTAATAAAATGTCAGGATTTTAATTTAAACGTGTTATGAAATGTACGAAACCAAATTAACTGTCAGGATGAATCTTAAACACATACCTACGCATGCCAAGAATGACTAGTTACAGATGTATATGTTTAAATCAATAATAATATAGGAAAGGTAATGCTTTGGTACAAGTAAACATATACACTAGATTGCTATGTGAATGTACATTAACATCTGTTCCAGACTGAAATTCTAGCGCATAATTAAGAAATGAGGCTAAGGTCACCGTCCCGTAAGCTTAACCATCCATGCGCCACCTAGGTAAAGACCCAACAAGGGTGCCGCAAGAAGAACTTGAGTAAGAGGATCAGTGGATGGCGTAACTACAGCTGCTGCTACTACAGCACCAACCACAACATACCTCCAAATTGATAGCATCTGGTCTCCAGACACCAATCCAAGTTGTCCCAATAGAAATTGTATAACAGGTACCTGCAACATAACTTCCATATATAACTACCAAAGTTTGCAGGGGAAAAATATAACAGGCAAGCGAAGTATGGTACAATACAGAATTACAGATTAGTTAAAGATTACTTATTGTCCTTGTTTCCTCGCGCACTAGTTAAAGGCAAAATAATTTATGCCTCGCTATAGTCCAAAAGAGTGATTGATCACAAATGGAGTCTAAATAAAAACTATCTTATGAGCATTCTTCAACTGAAAGACAATAGCCAGGTTTCTTTCGATTTTTGGCATGTCCATATTGTTCATTACTCCAAATTAACCTGAGCAGGCATATTTAAAAATGTAATCATTTGCTGTTTTCTACATATTTATTATCTACAAATTTCAGCAGCAAAGGACATGTGATTAGGTAAATGGCCTTGTGGCATGTAGTGGTGTCAGTTAGAAGGAACTATTCGCCATGTAATTCATAAAGAAATGAAGAATAAAACCAGGAAGAAAAAATTACCTGGAAAGATAAGCCTGTACTGAACATAAGCACCAGAACAAATTCAAAGTATTGATCAATGGACCACAATGATTCAACAGCACCTTCAGCATAGTTAACAAAGAAATTTAATGCTGCAGGTGTCAGAACTAAGTAGGAGAAAATTATTCCAGCGTAGAAAAGAACCGATGAGCCTAAAACAATTGGCCCAAGAAACCTTCTTTCATCTTTTGTTAGGCCTGGAAGTACAAAGGCTATGATTTCATAGAGGATGACAGGACTTCCCAAGAGAAGGCCACAGTATCCAGACACCTGCAGTTCAAAATGAAAAAAGTAAATTTTATTACGGTAGCTGTGTATTTTGGCCATTCACCCATACTACTTTGTGCCATTTGTCAGCCAATGATCTTATCAATTGATGTTATGTAAGTAGACATGGCTACCTTGTATTTACTCACAAGAGTTTCAATAGTTCTTGTTCTTATATATCACACTTTAGTCAGCTATTGGTCTTATTTGAATTTTAATTTAAGCTGTTAGTGATTAAACAATTAGTGCAAGAACAAAAATAAATTTCAATTATCCCATGCCATTAACCTTATTTATGAACTAGTTATATTATAAGGCAGACACAGGAAACAAGATTGCTTTGCATATTGTTCCTGATAAAGCAAGACCCAACAGCATAGCACTGGTTTAATTTTACATGAAATGCACACCAAAAAATAGACTACCACAGCTCACAAGGTAAGAAAGGAAATAGTAATCATCCCAGGTATGAATATGTAAGAATTCTTACCTTTAAAGTTGTGAAGAAAAACTCGCCAGGAGCTAGCTGAAGAAATCTTACACCCTGTGATTTAACAGGAGCTTCAAGAACCATGATCAGTTCTTTTGAAAATGCAAAGCACCCCAAAATGCTTGCTCCAACTGCCAGAACTGATACAAAGATTCTCTGCCGCAGCTCTTCAAGATGATCAAATATGCTCATTTCTTTATCATCAGGTAGAAGCTCTTTACTGGGATAAAGAAAATCATAGATAGCACTTCGTTCACCATCTTGCTTAAAATTTTCCAGCGTTTCTTCATTTGTACTCTCAAAAAGATCTGTATTTTAATACGAACGGTCTCAGAATCTTAACCATATCTACTACAGTTGTGGAAACATGAGTACACTAAAACACATGTAATTAGTTCCAAATTAACATGAAACATAAATTATAAATCAAAAGAGAAAATTGATGTTTTAAAAGACATAACGAAATGTTATAATTTATCTTAGGCATGATGTCTGTCGGAACAAAAATTCAAAATAGAACAGTAAAAAAAGAAGTTAAAATGCAACTAGGAAAACCCGAGATAAAGGAAAAACAATTTATAAATTCAAATAAATCATTGGTAACAGAACGAAACTATATGATCAGCACATTAAGCATACAAATTCAAAGTAAAAGTAACAACTCGAACGAGCCCTCTCCTAAAAGACCAAAAAATAAATAAAATCATTCAGAAAAGATAAAATCTTCTAAAAATCTTTTAGGCATAATCATTACACAAAGAGAAGAATAAAAAAAATTAAAATTGACAAAGTGGGTTGGTTTCTACCAGGCCTTTCTTCAACGGCGGAGCCAAGCCCAGTAGCGTTAGTACTTGACTCTTGCTGCTTCTGTCTGAGGTCGTCGTCAACAGCGAAGCAAACAAATCTACCTATACTCCTATTCCTCTTCGACGAGCGAGAGAGAGGGAAGCTCAACCTGTACCCGGAGGAGTTGTTGACCCGAATGGATGGGAGTGACCCGAACCCGATTTGAGGAACAGGAACAGTGGCGGTTACCAATCCCATGCTATATCGTACCGTAATGTCTTTTGACAGTCAAACGGTTGGCTGTTGTTCTTAGTTAGATACAGAACGATTTGGCTTCCTCACGCTATGAGCCCTCGCTCCCCCATATAGTTATTTAGTTACACTTCCACTCTTCCTTACATTACATAAACCATCGTTAATATCTGCAATCAGTATAAATATATTTTAGAGAGACAACTTTTAAATTTGTTTAGTTTATTTTCTAAATCGATGTTGAGTTCTTTATTAAAGTATATTATAAATTTTTGAAGGCTAAAAATTGTTAAAAAGAGTTTTTATTTTTTTTCTAAATCAAAATAATTATTTATTGAAATTAATTTTATTCGAGAAAAGATGGGCATGTTTGAGCAAGATAAGAGTTAATAAAGTTCATTCCTAAAATACTATATTACCATAAATTAAACTTTAGCAACTCTTTCCAAATAGTACTGTAATATTTAAACATTTAAATTTTAATTTATATTACATTGATACTCTTCGTGGGTTGATTTATTTTAAATATAAAGTTTATTTAATTTATGTGGCTTGTAATTTCTTATATGGTTGATTTCATATATTATTTATCTATTTGAAAAAATTTTAGAACAATATTCTTTCCTAAATATATGCTATAATGAAAAAAATATGATTTAAAATAATTTAGTTACATTTGAATATATTTAACAGTTCAAAATATTTTTATCGAAATCATTTTTAATTAATTGTAAAACAAATGAATTATAGTCAATCCTAAATTTATACATTAGTAATTTAATTATTGTGTAATCGAAGGATTTTAGTCAATCACTCGGGCTTGCACGAAGCCCATAGGTACTGGGCCAGGGCCGCGCTAATTATAAATAAATAAGTTATCCTTGTTGTTCCCGCCAATTGTGTTGCATCATTGACAATGGCGCGAGAGAATCACAAAACGAAGGCAGTGAATATGCTCCGAAGCAGAATCTGCGATGCCAAATTCATCTACAACGATTCTCCAGACAGCAACTACAGGTCTTCTCTTCTTCCCGCCAAGTTAACGTTTCTCATTTTAAATTGAATCATCAAATCGGAATTTCGATGACCTTACTCTACTGATTTATCGTATCAGCAAGTTGAAATTCATGATATCAAGTTCAGTGACGGAGGCATGCAACAACTCTATTCTTCTTCTCGGTCCTCGTGGCTCCGGCAAGAGTGCGGTTTGTTTGTTTGTCCCTCACTCGCATCAACCCCAACTTAAGGGTTTCCTTTCCTCCTTTTTTTTTACTGTCTTCTCCTGTTAGGTTTTGGAGCTTGTTATTCAAGATTTGATGCAACAATATCCCGATTCAATTTCAGCGGTATTCTTTCTTTCCAAGTAATAATATTGATGCATTTGGTTTAGGAATGAGTTTAAACAAGTTATAATAGTAAGACGTTATTGGATTGTTACAGATCAGGTTGAATGGGCTTTTGCATAGTGATGATATATCTGCATTCAAGGTTGGCATTCCTAAAACCTGCCTACATACTAATTGAAACGCTTTTTCCGATTAGTATTGCCTTTTTTTCCTGTTTAATCGATCATGTTGACTTACTGCTGATGATGATGTTGCTGACGGTAGTAGTGTTTTGTTTATAATCAAAGGCTTAGTATTTGGATAATTTGCCCTCTTTGTTAGCTTCTTAGTTCTTACTGAGGAACATTGGATTGGCACGAGGTCTAGCTGAGAGCAATTGACGACTTTATATTTCAACAAAAAAAAAAAAAGGGAACAATTAGACAGAAGATAATCTTGAACAATGAATTAGCTAGGAAAATTGAAGATTCTTCTTGAGGAACTGTGACAATGTTCTTTCTGAATTTCTGTTAAAAAATGTGGAATAAAGCTTTCTCTTGTTAAAAACTCATGAATTTGCAAAGGAATCGGATGGTGACGGACCAAGCTGAACAATGCACCCCCGTCCTCAGATTAATTTTGAATAAGAAGGAACAGTGAGAATTTGTTAGACTTATCATAGAATTTATAAATCTTGTAACAGAAATCGTTTGAACAGTATAATAGGTCACACTGCTGCCTCTTCTTGTACAGTGTCTCATTTGTCGTTGCTAATGGTGATCAATCAGGAAATAGCTAGGCAGTTGTGCATGGAGCATCAATTGCTATTCTCGAAAGCGGTAATGTGATCTATCTAACAAGATTCCTACTATGCACATGCAATTATGATATGCTGATTTGATAAGGTGTGAACCTTTTGCAGGCTTCGTTTGATGACAACTCCCAATTTATGGTAGCCATGCTAAAGTGAGTAAAGTTTTCTTGGTTGAAAAAGGAAAATAATTTGAAGCTATAAAGCATTTTTTATATTTGTTTTCTAGGGAATGCGGATTAGCACATAAAACAGTAATTTTTGTTCTGGATGAGTTTGACCTCTTTGCCCAGGTAAGGCTCGATTTTATTTTCCCCTGTGATCATTTCTCAAAAGCTTTACTGTAAATTCTGGGTTATATTTGCAGTTTTGACTTCTGATTATATTAAATAATCCTGTTTGTGATCCGTGTGAAATATTTTCTATTGTACTTTTTTGGTTTAACTTTTTTAATCATACACTTCATTATTATCTCCATCCTGATTCTCTGCAGGGTAAACAGCGGTTACTTTATAGTTTGCTGGATGCAATGCAATCAATAACATCGCAGGCTGTTGTACTTGGTATTAGTTGCCGTCTGGTGTGTACTTTACAGTTATTTTTTCCTTATATAAACTTTCAAGTAGTTGTGGATATCATCATGTCTGAATTTATATACGTCATGGATTAGGAAAACAAAATAGTTCCTTTAAATCGATATTATTTTGTGGTTCACAATTTATTATTGGATTGGAAGTTTTCCAGTTTGTTTTGCTCATATATATTTTGAGAAGATAATTTATCGCTGCATGAGGTGCTTGTTGATCATGAGTTTAGTTTTCAATTCGAGATTATCCACCCTGCAGGATGCAGATCAGTTGTTGGAGAAAAGGGTACGATCTCGTTTTTCACATAGAAAGCTGTTGTTTTTACCACCTTCAACGGAAGACTCACAGAGGTAGATAAATTGTAATTTCCTTTGGATTAGACTGTGCGAATGTGATGTGAAATGCATTGTTTGACTTGTTATGTAGGTTACTGGTGCGCATACTGACATTACCAATTGATTCAAGCTTTCCACATGATTATGCTGTTGAATTTAATAAAAAGGTCCAAGTATCCTTTTTATGCTGATTTTACATGTCGAATCTAGTTGATTAGTAGGCCTTAAAAATGAATGAGTACCACCCACAATTATTTGTGACTTAAATGTTTCTAGTCCTTGTAAATATTAATTTGAATATAGTCTTCCAAAATTTTTTAATGGGTTTTGTTCTTCATAAATTTTAAATTTTTAAAAAATGGACCCTATTACTACTTAAATTTTTAAAATTTGAAGTGACATGTCTTATCACATGTCATGACATTAATGAATAATGATAGTAACCATTTTTAAAAAAATTAAAATTTATCAGAACTAAAACCGGTAAAAAAGTTTTGAAGACCTAAAATCAAATCTAATCATATTTACAAGCAATGAAAATATATTTTATCTATAATCTATTTCATTTCAAAGACTATTTAACCTTTGTTTGAGAATTTGAAGAAGGATGGAAGAAAAGGGTTTGACAGTAAAGAAGGAGAGGAGAAGGAAGAGAGAAATAACAAAAAATTCTTCAATCTAAGGAAACTTAAAAGCATAGTTTATAGGAGGTTTTGGAGGGTTTTATAAAAATTTTCATTCACATTTAAATTTTGTCATACAAGGGTTACCATCAAATAAATTTTCTCCTTTCTTATCTTCCTCTCCTAAAATCACTCAAACAAAGCTTTAAAAATTTCATATGTACTGTATTATGCAATTGTGAAGACTTGGACATAACTTATAATGCATACATTTTGGCACATTTGTCTAACTTTTGCCAAAAAACTAATGTTGCAAACCTTTTTAGTTGTTCACATTGCCATTCACTGTATTTGCGTTTCTGTAAGTAACTGATTTCATCAAAACAGCTAGTTTCCATTTATAAAAACTGTTGTTTATGTTTGGAAATTCACATTTCTGTGCCTGGTTAAGAAATCCTTGACAAATTACAGAATATTATAGCAGATAGAAGATTCAAAGAAACTTTCAATAAATATTTAAATTTTGACTCCTCTGTCAAACATTTGCTGAGGTTCCTGTAAGTATTTTTTCAGACTTCTGTTACTGTTGAATATCAAATAAACTATCCTCCTAGACTAATGCAATATTGATGATTTTCCAGATTCTGTGCAGTCTCTCAGATTGATTTGCAGACTGGGTTCCTGACCCAGGAGAACATTGAAACTGCATTTTCAAGTATCCAGAGGCAGCCTAAACTGGAATGTTTAAGAAGTACAACAATTTTAGATAATTTATAATATGTACTTTCTGTATTTGATTTCATCCACATTGATCTATTTTTCGGTAATCTGTTCCCATTTTATGGATCTTAGTTTTTCATCTTTCATATTTCTCCATAATTCAGTATAATCACTGATGGATTCTTTTTCATGTTATAATCAATTTTCAATATATTTTTGGTTTTGTTTAAAAATTGCTGTCTTAGGGCTCTTTTCCATTTTGTCATATCTTAAGAAAATAAGTACCTAATTGATTTGAGAAAACTTTTTTGTTTTATTAGAAGGTAGCCTACTAATTGTGTGCAAAGAAAGACCATGAAAAACTATAAGAGAAACTATTATGAAAGATTAGTAGGTTTGTAATTTGTGTATAAACATGATTTAACGTATAACATTATGACGTCATTTGATCCAACTAGTCAATCTCACACCTATTCAGAAAAAGCTTTTTTTTTTTTTTTTTGTAATTTTAGTTCTCTCCCTAGCTGTTTGTGGAGAAATTAATGGTTATTTGATTACATTTTTAACTTGCAAGCAGATTGCTCCATTTTAGAACTTTATATTTTGGTTTGCATGAAGAGATTGGAAGTTAAGGAGCAAAGTTTATGCAACTTCAATTCTGTAATGAAAGGTAATATTTATTGTGTTTTTATTTCCCTCTTATTAGATTATTCCTCAACATGTCTACCATATTTTGCAGAGTATAAAAGTATACATGATTCCTTCCAGACTTCTGATTATTATGCACGAAATGTCTGCTTAAGGGTGTGTTCATTTGCTTTAACGAATTATTTAAGCCAAACGTGTTATATGTAGTGAATGATGGTTATGGACTGTTTCCTATAATTTTTCCCCAACCCCTGGCTTATTTGTTGGTATTTTCCCCTTGTGTATGCAGGCATTTGAACATCTCATTCATCGTGAATTATTATGTTTCACAGACAATAGAGGACATAGTTTGTCTATTGAGTTTCGTCCTGTAAAGCTTTTAATTTCATCTGTTGAACTGCATCAGGGACTAAAAGCATATCATTCGTGCCCTGTAAGTTAACTGACAGAATAAGCTCGCCTTTGTTTTGTTTGAGAAATAAGAATCTCATGGATATCATTGCAAACATTTGATCGTGTTTTGAATTATTTTTGTTTTCTGGTTCACTTTGTTCGTAATGTCTTTCGATCATTTTTACATGTAGCATCTGTGGAGGTAGGTTATGGAACGTAATTTATTAAATTGTATATTTTGGCAGGCTATCCTTCAGAAATTAATCGATCGTGAAGGCTAAAACCACTTGAGGGACATGACTGTTCGTGCTTCATGTTAATTGTATGTTACATAATTCTAAATTCTGATAAGCTCTGCCTGTTTGTGAAAAAAGCAAATGTATTTTTTGTTTATTCAAACATTTTTTCGTGATTATAATTGATGTACCTGGATTTTTTTTCCTTATTCATTTCTTCAGGAGTGTGGGTGGGTTTGGCTAACATGAATCTATGAAGGAACGTGTTAAGTATCATTCACCCAAATTTTCTGACAAGAATGTTCAAGTTTCTTTTGTTAAAACTACTTTACCAATAAGGATATTATGGTAAATTTATTTTAAATAATAAATTAAAAAACTCATCAAATTTCTGTCTTCCTTAATTATCAATGTCGTACTTATTTTTCCGTTTCCAACAGAGAAACTCACATTATTCTTAGGCAATTTTTGCTCCAGTAAATATCCACTCTAGTCTTCAAAATTACAGGAATATCCATATTTTATCAACCGTAGTAATCCTAGTTTCAAATCACATTTACAGATTCAAATATGATTGAGCTTGTAAAAGACATGTTTTCCAAACATTTTGCACAATTTCTTGTAATATAATCTTTCAGATTGAATGAAGGATTTTGACAGTAAAAAATTCAAATAAATTGCATAATGCGACCCAGGAGCATTATTATTTTTTATTGCCACATTCATAAATTATGTGAAGATTTTTATAGGTTGTTTTTGGGAATGAGTTGTTAGATTATTTCAATAATTTAACAAGTAGTATAAGTAATTTAATGACTTTTACTCTAATTATAAATTTTAATATAATTATTGTTAATTATAAAAGATTGAATTAGTATTAATATATTTGTAAATTAAATAAAAGGAAACATTCTTCTCTCATTTCAAATAAAATAAAAAATTCTTATCAAAATAAGATTGCACAAAAGTTCTTTCAAGTCCTCCTAATGTTATTTGTGTGTGACTTCAATGTGAGTAAGAATCATAGAATTTAAAATTGTATAGAGACATTATAATTCCTCATAGAAAATTTTAGTAGAAATTATAAAACGCTTCCATGAATCATATCTAATGAATAAAAAATATTTATTTAAAATATTATAATGATTATAAAGTTTTTGCTACTGCAGTTAGACAATACATGATAATAAATGGTTTAAATAAGTTTTTTTTTTATGAATATTTTTGTTTTTAGAATTAGTTCTATAAAAGATAACATTATGAATAAATAAATTATTAATATTTAATCCCTAAAAATGACCAATTTTATATCCTTTTAAAATTATTAGGGATTAAATATTAACAAAATTTTTACAAAAATTAATTTTAAAAATAATACTACTTATAGGAATAAAAAAAATTATTTAAGCCTAATATTTTATTTTATTTTTAAATTACAACGAAGATCAAAGTTAGAAAAATGATAAATAAATGATAAATGAATAAATAACAATAACATCACAGTAATCTTATATTTATTTAAGCTTGGGATGCTCTTATATGTGCACCTATCATTGTTTGGTCGAAATTAAATTGTAATATAATTGATTGTAATTATGTATTATTTTAAATTTTCTTTTACAATTAATTTATAAAGTACCCTTACAGCAGTTATCGTGAAAGACAGATTGGGAAAAAAAACTACAAATTAAAGTAAGTTACACAGTAGAATAAATTTTTTGGCGTATTACTATTATCTGCTATGGTGTAGTATTAATGTTGTCCAATCTTTAGCATCCCATCGATCCAGTTGCTAATGTGCTGTCGAACATGTATAACCACCGTTTGTTACATAGTATGTTTTTATTGGCAAATGCTGAAACAAATTAAAGCATACCAGCGGTACAACATTTATTGTTCAAAGTGTAAAGCATGTGAGTTGTGACCAAATAATAAATGACATCAATAGAAGTCCTTGGCCTACTTCCTAATCTGCACAAACTTTATTTGGCATTAGAGGAAAATATTTACAAATTCTCAGTTGAATTTATTTTCCCCGTCATAATTCATTTCCCATATTCCCAACAAACAACAAAAAACATAGTAATTCCAAGGAAGTTCGGTTTCTTCCACGCAACTATCTAATTCATGATTTTTCAATTAGAAACTTCCAGTATCAAAACTTTTCTCCTTGGAAGTAACATTTCTCTTTGCCTTCTTGCAACCTCAACACACACGACTGCTAGAAAATACTCCTACTAGCATGAGAAACCTAAGCAACAGTGTACTTTTTCAACAAAAGCGCGTCTGATGTCAACTTCTAGAGGAGGCTATCTTTTTTTTAAGTATTATTGTGCAAATGTTAACTAACGTTCTTAAGACATTAATTAAATAATTAAAATTTAAAAATTATTAAAGTTGATAATCATATACTCATTAGCATAATTTCTAATGTATTCTTTAGATTTTTAATAAAAAACTATTTTTAATTTTTTAAATTTAGCACAATCTTTATTATTGTTGCATTGTTATTATTATTATTATTAGCCAACTATCTAATAGGCACTATGTCTACCTATTGCTTACCAATTTGAAGTTCGAGCAGCAGTAATAATGAAAAGGACAAAGTTTGTGATGTCAAGCTAGTAGAAGTAGACGTAGTGAAAGCCTCAAATATTCTAACTTCTCTCATACCACAAAATTGCCTGACAAACACACTTTTGTCTACTTTACCTATCTGATCGATCTGTACTAGGCCGTTTCCTTTCTCAAACGGACCCCTAAAAATTACTTCTGCGGCAAACGCCAAAGTCTCTTTGATATGTCAGCTGAATCACAAGGTTCACTTATTTGTCTCTTAAGAGTTCCAAGTTCAGCTTTGTTAATACCGTCTATAGTTAAACTATAAAAATGTTTTATCACCCTTTTTTCTCTTCCAACCTCTCTCCTTCCATATCATCCAGAGAGAGAGAGAGAGAGAGAACAAAAATAGAAGAATTAATGGCTGCTACTTTCACATATCCAGCCTCAGCCTATCTTGTAAGGTGCTGTTCCATGAGAGAAAGCAATGACCAGCTTAAGCAACAATTGAACAGCAGCATCAGAGTTAATGGGACTTTTAGAACCCCAATCAAAGTTGAGTCTCTAAGCCAAACAGCTGAAGCATCAAGTACCACTACTCTTGGTCAAGCTGTTACCATTGCTGAAAATGGCCAACGCCAAAACATCCCAACAAAGAAGCAATTGGTTGATCCTCATCGTCAAGGACTCATTGTTGAAGGTGGTGTTGGGTATCGACAAACTATTGTCATTAGATCCTATGAAGTTGGAGCTGACAAAACTGCTACACTAGAGAGTATCCTCAATCTCCTTCAGGTGAGTATATTTTACTTCATGAAAAGCACATGGGCTTTATTCCTTTGTTGACATTGCTTGAAGCTAAAAACGCAATTTTTATGGCATTTTTATGCAGGAAACAGCATTAAACCATGTGTGGATGTCTGGACTTCTTGGTGATGGCTTTGGGGCAACACATGGAATGGTGAGGAACGATCTCATTTGGGTCGTCTCAAGAATGCAAGTTCTGATTGATTACTATCCCATCTGGTAAGTCCCTTTCCATCATGATTATTACTAGGACATAAATGATTGTACATCTGTACCCTTCAAATAAATCTTTGGTCGAATATAGAATCAAATTTTGAAAAATTTCACCATGCTTCAGACAATTCTTACTTGACAAAATTGTACTATTTCTTGAAGGTTCTCCTAGGAACTTTCTCCATATTCTTGTCCTGTACTCTTAGCTGCACGAAAGTACAAACACCTACCACCTCTTCTGATAGAGTTGCATCTTGACAAAGATATGCATAGAATTTCATTAGGATATTCCATAATTAAATCCGTCCCGGGCCATGCTCATCTCAATAGTTTTACTATAAACTCTCATCAATCATATAATAACGAGTAATGCACTTTAACGTGTCAGGGGAGAGGTAGTTGAAATTGACACATGGGTTGGAGCATCGGGCAAGAATGGAATGCGACGGGATTGGCTGATAAGAAGTCAAGCCACAGGGCACATTTTTGCTCGTGCAACAAGGTATGCATGTTTGGACAATTTTTCTAACAAGAAAGATGTTACCTACATATTACTTTAACACATGCTGGTGTATGTTGAAATTTATTGTCTCGCAAAATTAAGTGAGTTTAATAAATTTCAATCAACAATAACGTACATATGTTAATAAAAAAAAAAGGGGGTATGTTATACCGGTACTGATAAAGATTAGCCATAAAACAGCACGTGGGTGATGATGAACCGTAAAACAAGACGCCTGTCCAAAATGCCAGAAGAGGTGAGAGCTGAAGTTGCCCCTTGGTTCATACAAAAGCAAGCAATAAAGGAAGATGCTCCCGAGAAAATTGTCAAATTGGACAAAGAGGCAAAATACATGAATTCTGACTTGAAGGTACAGTACATATGCCATTTAATTTATACATTACAGCACAAAGAATATACCCAATTAATGACTTTGTGCCCCTCTCCACTTTGCAGCCCAGGAGAAGTGATTTGGACATGAACCAACATGTTAATAATGTCAAGTATGTAAGATGGATGCTAGAGGTAATTACAAAATTGATCTACTCATTATTTTTAACTTGCCATTATGAATGTCATATATATTTTTAATTCATTAAATTCTATCATTGATTGCTCATACAGACCATCCCAGACCCATTTCTAGAGGGCCACCAATTATCTGGTATCACACTAGAGTACAGAAGGGAGTGTGGAAGCTCAGATATAGTTCAATCACTATGTGAACCTGAAGAAGATGAAATACTTCATGGTGTAGCGGAGCCAGATTACTGCACAAGTCTACTTAATGGGTTGTCATTGGCATCATCAGATATTATAAATGGTGGTGGAGTCCTTACTTGCCTTGAGCAGAGGCCAATAAGGTATACACACCTCTTACAAATCAAAGGAGAGAAACAAAACGATGAAATTGTCAGAGGAAGGACAACGTGGAAGAGAAAGCTATCTACCATGTCATTTTCCACCTAGACCTAGTAATATATGTGGAATTACCCATTGGGAACTGGGAAGGAATATTGACATATGATATACTCTGGTGAACTCACCAAGAAATGCTTGGCTAAACGTATACTATATTGATGGAAAAAGACAACCAGGAACAGGAACCGTTCGGAGAAAAAGAAAAAAAGTATACAAGTAACAATTCCAATGAAATGTAAGTTATGACTGTGTTTATAATTTAATTCATGAAACTAGTATAAATTGTGATTATTTAATTATAATACACTGTAGTCATATGTTCATAAACTATATTATAAATTTACGTAAGAGAAATTGCATGTAATATAGTTTGAGATTCTCTTTCCAACCAACAAAGTTCATTACAATGGGTAGATAATTAGGTCTCATAAGTATTTGATTTAAGTTTAATTTCTATTTGTATGTATGAAAAATAAATCATCATAAAAGGGAAAACCCACTTTGTAATGTTTACGCCTTCAAAAATTAGTTTCTTGCTTCGGTTAGAAATACTCTTCAAACTGTTCTGAAAATTTATCTTAAAAAAATAGTTAATTCTGAAATACTCAAGTTTGAAGTGAAAATAAGTTTAAACATACCAAAATGTAGAAAAATCTTGTTAAAAAGAGAATAAAAACAACAATCAAATACTTTTTTTGTTGGCTAGAATTAACATAAAATATTTCTTTTTTATAAGAGAAATGGAGGACTTCACTTAATTGTTAGTAATATTTAAAAAACCTAAAGTAAATCAATTCATAAGAATATTTAAAAGGAAATTTATAATTTACTATATTGAAGCTTAGGTTTTATGCAATTTAACCTTTGATGTTTAAAAACGTGTATTTTAAAAAGACTATATTTTATCCTCCGAGGTCTTTAAAACGTATGAAACCACCCTTGGGTAACTAATCATCGCTAATTAGTTAGGAATTAACTAATTGGTAGCAATTTAACCCTGAATTAGCTACGAAAGGATTGTTTTACATGTTTCGAAAGACACAAAATCAAATTACCCCTTTTTAAATGTCAAGAAAAAAATTATACATAATTCAAACTTAAGCAATAATTTGCATTTTTTCTTATTTGAAGCACATGTTAATTGTTTTTCTTAAATTCATTCACGAACCAAAATTAGGCTTATCAAACTTTGAAACGAAGATACCAGAAGTGTTATTTGTATCTCCTATTTTGAGTGGAATATGAATTTTGTAACTGTAACTATGGTTAAATTTGATTTTAGCTTTTGAAAATTTTAATCCATTTTAATTTTTTAAAAAAGTTAAATCTATATTACTCGATACTCGTAATTTTAGAGAATAATTTGATACATATCGCGATCCTAATTGAAGTGCTACAAGATCAGTGAGAAGCCATTATTTCCAGAAATTTATGCGAACTGATCCCAAAGAAAGATTCTCTCAGAACGAGAAGGAATGCTACCAATTGCCACTAGATCACCCCTATGATAGAGTATGCAACTATCAACGATTTCATTATCACATAAATTTCTCATACGCAGTTGTTTAGCATTTAGAAAAGAGCTGAATAAATTCTGAAAAATGCGGGTAAATTTTGTTGCAACTTTTTTAGAAAAGGAAATGATGCCTTATTTTAAGAGAAAAAAAAAAGTCGTTAAACTCAAAGAAGATTTTTCCATTTACACTCACATCAACTTAATTATATTAACATTTTATCCCCTACTCCGAATCTAAAGTTTTACAATTCATCTTTTTAAGTTACTAAGCTTCATTTATTATTTCGAATGTCAATTAGGAATATTGATAGAATAATTCTTTTAAGATATGGATGATTCTTATCTCATGAACTAATTTTTTTTACAATGAATTTGCCTTCTTTTTATATATAGTATTAGAGGCTATGTAAACTTTACGCATTAAATATTCAGTGAGATGAATTAAGATGTCTCATGTAAGTTAGGAATATGTTTTATAAAGTAACTTTTGAAAGTAAGTTGAACTACGTTTCTTATTTATGTTAAAATTGTGCTATTGGGGAGGGAAAATAAATAAATAAATAGATAAGACATTTATTACTATGTATTAGAATGATATAAATATTCGTAAAATTTAGAACAACGCCACTTATTTATACTGATCATAATCCCATCTTTGTTTAAAAAGAATGCTAAAATAAACGTAATGACTAATCCTATGAGACAATGATAAATAAATAAAAAAACTAATCCTAAAAGATAAGTTCCATAATATTTTTAAACATTTTTATCTCTTCTTAAGCATACACCTCAGCAAACATGCAAAAAATTTGAAAAACTTGAGCTCCATGAATACAAACCTTGCGTCATATAATTGACTAATTATGCTCCATGTTCTACAAACTATACGTGCACGCCTTGTGTGCACCAAACTTTAAATACCCATAAAACCCTAGAAACATTCATTCAAGCACTATATTTTTTTTTTCTTTCTAAACCTTGTAAAATTTTCATTTCAGATTAAAAAATGTTTTATTTGTAGTATTTTTATTATCATACATTATAAAATATGAAAATTAGTAATGCAGTGAATGTTTGCTTAACTTAAAAATCAAGCATCAATTGGTATCGATAAATAAAACGCGAATATCCTAAACATAACGCTAATGCCAATCTCCAAAGGGTTATCAACTACTAAAGCATGACAAATTAAGAGGAAACAACATTGCAACAATTAGAACAATGGGCACATTTTATGAAGCAAAAGCATTCTTCATTCAAAATTTGATTGAAATAACAGGATACACGTTTAAGAATGATTCATTCCGAGGCGAATATAAATTAAATGGCCAATTTACTAATGGTGGAAACCTATTCAAAAGCCTCATAAATAATAAGTACACCTCTCTACCAGCTGAAACTAATACCTGCCGCCCAAAGAAACTGTGAACCACTACACTAAGCTAGGAGAATAATCATTTAGACATTTACAATTAATTATGAGGATGATAGATAGTATTTACACCATGTATGGCTATGGATGGGGGGATACCCATAAAAATCAGGAAGGAATCAAAGAATAATTCACTGCTGCAATAGTAAAATTATCGCCTCTTTTTCCCTAGACTTCGATGGAGTTGCCAAGACCACAATAGCAAAAATGTAACAATGGCCACTCCAACACATGACCAGAATATTACCAGCCATAAAGGCATTGGTTTAGGATACAAGCCTGAGGAAACATAAGCACAATATAATTAGTGAATCAATAAAGTATTATGATCATCCCTACATAAACAATAATACTAACCAAAATATGACACACAAGGATTATGAAGAGACCTACCGTGTCCAAACTTAATGCATATCAGAAGTTCTACAATGCAAATGGCAAGAGAGAGCCAACAATATGCTCCAACCTTCTTCACTGGCTTTCTGAAAAATTCACAACGAAAATATGACATGGTAAAATGTTAATAACTCGTTAGGATGCTGTGCTGTTCATCAACATTCGGCATGCAATATATACAGAAAAATGAGAAAAGAGAGATAGAAAATGTACCTGTCTTGAAGGTACGAATTGTACTCACGAATTGTTGGAATTGCAAGTAGCCACCACAAAATCAACCTATATATAACAACTGAATTTCGAGGAGGTATCCAGAGACAAAACTTCAAAAAGAATGTGTTGAGCTCTACAGTCAAAAATACGATACAAAGACTAAGCACTTGAATAAAACGCCAAGGTCCAAGCAGTGGATGCCACTCATCTTTGTCCCACTGAGCCGGTGTGAATTGGCCTAACGTTCGTTTCACCTAATAACAATCACATCAGATATCCTTAGCAATCATAATAAAGACTAACAATAAGAATTAACTAACATTCTGACATACAGTTATATCATTTTTTTGTCATGGTGAAGTGACTGCACTAGTTATTATTACAACACTGCAGTTTCTAGTGCAAAGAGCTATCAGAAAATAAGTACTGGCTATTGGCTACTGATCCAGCAGGTGCAAAAAAAATGCCATACAGGCTAGAGTGATTTCAATTTCAATAGAAACCAAAGATTCAAGCATAACGGAATAACTAATGATAGAAAAACAAACAGAATCTAGAACTCATACTTTTCCTATTATATTAGGCTGGCGGCTTAGACCAACCCATTTATATGTTTTCCCATCAAAGTATCTTACAGTATGCATTCCAGCCCAAATTCCTGCATATTAAATCAAGAAAAAGATGTAATCATGTAACAATCAGCTGCAACAATTTAAAGCCAGAAGGTATCTGATATAAAAATACTGCAAAAACAAATAAACACTATATTTTCTCTAGTGAAATGTGCAGCTTCATATAGCTGTCTAGACTAATTATGATTTTAATAAATTTCATGTAAGAGTTTATTCAATGCCACCAGAATCATGAACTACGATACCATGAACCACAAAAGTTCTTATGATGTACCCAAATCTTTTCTAGGATTACAAAATTAATTTCAATGTCATAAAAACAATACTGAACTACGTATACTAATATAGGCTTGAATATCATAGGACAAATTTACAAAAATAAAACTCAGCGAGTAAAACTTCAAGTTAATGAAAGCATAACCAAACTATTCATACACAATAATTTAACAATTCTCATCCAAGATAGTGCAAACAAATACATTTTATATGCCTTTAAAATTAAAACAGTAAATACATTCATAGATGTTAGTCCTGAAGCTGTCAACAATTAAGGGGATAGCCCTGTTTTCAAAAATGAAAATGTATTTTGCTGATGAACTATTAAAGATTAAAGAAATGACTATAGATACAATCTATAATCATGGTGATTCAATAAATAACCTCACGCTTTAACCAATAAACTACATGCAATATCTGCAACTTGCAAGAAATCAATACAAAAATGGATCCACAACTCTTACCGAACCAATTGCATATCAAGATGTCAAGAATAATACTGTCCCACCAGCACTCGTTGAAATTTGGCAACATGTGACGAAAAGTAAACTGAAAATGCCAACACAGAATGGTTTGTAAACAATACAGAAAATATATATTGATACCAAAACAACAAAAAAAGTTAACGATGCACTAACCCACATAAAGACCTTTGTGAAAAAATCAAAGAGTTCATAAATCAGATCAGGGCTAACCTCTACGAGCTCAAAACCAATTGATAACACCCAAAGAAGGGGCTGGTTACGAATCAATATCGCCTTCCCCCACCATCCAATAATATGAGCTAGAACAAATTCATCAAAAAGTGTCTCCTGAAAATAAAGCATAATATATAAGGTCCATGTTAGATCCAAAAATAAAGCAAACAACAAAATGATTTTAGAAGAGAATAGTAAAAAACAAAAGGTTGTGAAAGAAATCATACATAAACATTCTTAAACCTGCTTCCAGGGTTTTCAGGCAGATATATACGACAATCAGCACCATAAGATCTTTCTGGAAGTTCTGCCAAAATCAAACATAGTAATTACAAACTTCTAAACTGAAGGAAACAGGCTTATTCATAACTAACCAACAACGCATTCAAATCTCAAATACAGTGCAGATATATGATGAATTAATTCAAACCAAATCAAAGCTAATCTAACTGAATCAGATTGAATTTTACCAACACCAAGATCAGGATGAAGAAACTTCATAAACTGTCGAGCATCATCACGCTTCTGTGGGAACAAAATATGAGAATACCTGTTAGTTCACTTTCATTCACGTGCAGGAAACAGAGCAACAGATGACAAAAATTAGTAACAGAAAACATAGACAACATTTGAGGAAGCTAAAAGACGCAAATAAAAGAAGCATGCAAGAATCTAGCAATGATACACCACAAAAATGTAAAATTCAAGCAAATAATTGATCTTTACATACATGCATTACATATACTGACATACACAACAAGAACAGTAGACATGGACACCAACCTGAAAAAGCAAAAATGTGAGGGCAACAAGGTAAACAACAGCCATCCCGTGCACCAAGCGCCATATTGCAGGATGCGGCCTAATAAGAACCCTGATTGAAAACAGGAAATAATATTATTCAGATACTAGTCTCCAAAGAAAAAATTTTCTACAACTTCAGCTGAATTAAAACTCTATTAGTATTATTACTCCTCCACCATCATTTACTATTTTACAAGAGCCAATAATCAACTTGTGTTTAAGTTTTCATTTTTGCTAGTATTGTTCCAGATTCATAACTTTGCAGAACAATTTTAACCAGGATTATGTTGAAATTTTTATGGAATTGTCTTCATCAAACACCTTGGATTTACTTCCCAATAAACTAGCACCAACACATTCTCACTTCACTCCAAAAATCTAAAGCTGAAGATCCCACAACCACCCCCATCTAATGATATCTTGATTATATCTCAAATGACTTGGGCTATTACATAATGTTCTAAGATAGTGATGTGTTTGTAGAGCGGTTGCATTATTCTCTTAACATAACTAAAGAAATGATATAAATTAACTAATAAAGTCTGGAATTGAAAAAATAAACACCATTTCTCAAACCTGAAACTAAAAATTCAGATACTCAATCTCCTCCAAGACATAGGCAAGAAAATAATCCAATCATGCAGGAAGTCACAAAAAATAAGGAAGACCACATTACAAACTTAGGATCTAAATCTAAACTGAACAAATACCACATTTAAATTTAACATAATAAATGGATAAAAGCAACAATACTCATACATCAGAAAACATTAGAATTAAATGAAAAATGTGAAATCAAACAAAAAAATATTCACTTTGATTACTCACGTAGAAGGAGCTTGCAGCAGGCAATAAGCAAGAAAAACAGCAATCATTGCCCATACACCCCTACAGAGAAACAGTTGAGTGGGCATTTAGCATACTGTACGAACAGCAAAATGAACACTGATTAAACTAAAAATACCAAACCTTTTAACTGAAGTAACAAGATCACCAGATGCATCTCTTTCTGGATCAAGTGCTCCACTGGCCCAACTGGCATATACAACGATATAAAAAAATGGAAGAAATTTTAATTTTATTCGATAACAAATTTCCAATTTGATAGAAATACACTACTTGCTAACATTAACTTGTCCAGCTAACAACTCACATAAGAAAGCAAGCACCGATAAGTAACATTGTGATCGTGCGTGGCTTGTATGCCCATGCTGTCCAAGGATCATGTTCATCATCCATATTTGACAAATGGGAATTACCATTTTCTTTAACAACATCATTTCTCTTTACTCTTCCATGACCATTGGACTCCATATTAAGTGTTCCAGAGAAGCTACCCTCGAACTACAATCAAAATCCAAGAAAAAAGATCATTCACAGATACAACAAATGTTCACAAAAAAAATCATCCACTTAATTCAAATATAAATTCATCATATGAAACAATAAGAAACAGTATCATATATAAAAATACACCAAACATTTCATTTTTAATAATTGAAAATCAGGCCAAACATGAATATAACCCACGGTTTCCTCGCATGCATAATAAACAGAAACAGTAAGAGGATTAAATTAGACCACTCCATGTACACATACAACCAGGCCAGTTTTCAGAGACGTAAAATCACAAAATATATCTATATTGCAATGGACCGAAGGTTAATATTATCCTTTTAGTATCAAGTACATAAACAGTGTAAAAAATGATCCTAGTAAAGTAACTAATTTAAGCATAACAAAACCGTATTAAGGTTCAAAATTAAAAACCAAACTAGACACTCACGCAAATCCACTGAATTTACAACATAACGAACCCAAATTTGTAATCAAGGTAGTATCTGGTAGACAATTCAATGCCAATTTTTTTTGCGAGTGTGAAAAAGCATTGATTGAGAGCACAACAGTTCAGCACAAATTCTGTAGTACTGAATAGCACCCAACAATATTATAACATTATTTCTTCACAACAGCAACAGTACTACCCAGCATCTTAATACTGAAGAAAGCCCACATGCACATCACAAAGAATCACACTGTGTAACGGATCCCCATCAAGACAGAACTTAGCAAACGATTAAAACAAAATACATTATATATTAAAAACATAAAACAACTCCAAATAGACAACATTTTGAATGCACCTCATCAAAAACCGTAGAAAAAAATTCAAATTTTCAATCCAACCAACTTATTCAAAGTCGGTTCCAGCAGCATGATGGATCTAAATCTGGCAGCCACAGCCAGAACAAAGAGAACAACCCATCACGGCAATGCATAATTCAACACCGTATCGATGCATGTAACACAAAACGAATTGAACCCCGAATCCGGTGGAAGAAAGGCCGAGTGGGGTGGACCAAATAACAAAACTTTAATAAAAAAATTGAAGAATTAAAGGAACCCAAAGTGTAAAAAAGAGGGGTAAAAAAAACGACGTACACCGAATGTCAGAAGCTAGTAGATTCGAAAACCAAAAGCAAGCACAATCCGAAAACAAAACATGGAACTTTGCATAGAGGAGTGCGTGTGTGTGCGTGTGAGTGATAGATATTATGCGGATATGATGTGATTCGTAACGAAAAAGAGGTTACATACAGCGAGAAAAAGCGCGTTATAATAATAAAGGCTTTGTTATATTTTGTTGCTTGTTCCAGAAGATGAGAAGATACTTACGTAGAGAGAGAGAGAGAGAGAAGAGAGAAAAAGAGTTGAGAAGAAGAGGCAGACAAAGGACCCCTGGCCGTACGATTAGAGAAACGAGAAGATCGCAGCCGTCGGATCAGAGTTGTAGAGAGAGAGTTATGAAAGGGTTTAATAATAATGAATGATGAATGGAATCAGAGGAAGAAGAAGATAAGTGTGTGTGTGTGTGTTTCTCTTTCTGCTGCTAATGAATGATGGGAAAATTTTATATTTATAGAGATGGTTTTCTTCTCTCAGTGGCTGTCACAGGGAAAGAAGGGCAAAAAAGAAAAAAAGGATTTTTAATCTCTCTCTCTCTCTCTCTCTCTCTCTCTCTCTGTTTGTGGTGTGTGGTGGTGGCTGTTGTTGTTCTTTGTGTGTGTTTTGGTTTTGGGTCGTAGCAGAGTCTGCAACAGCGGCGAAAAGGCGAAGGGTGATGATGAGAGAAAATTAAAAAGGGAGAGAGAGAGAGTACGACGGTCAAAGATAGATTTGAAGATGTTTTAGATACGCACGATGACGATGATCATGAATCATGGACCAAAACTTATGTTATTTTATTTCATGACCATAATGCCCCTTTCCCTTCTCATTAATTGCAGCACATTGTTGGAATGTTCATTCCTACCATGCTAAATTACCCTCCTACCCTCCCTTCCTTTTCTTTGCCCTTTTTAAATGAAGATCTCTCTTAATTGTGAAATTCTAATTCCAGCAACTTGAGAGAGGACAATTAGTGTGTTCTAGTACAATACCCACTTACTAGTAATTTTAGATGGAATTTTTGCTGACATTTTTTGTCACCAACATTATCCGCTGGTGCTACAAAATATCATTTTCGATTGTGCTCTCCAGATTCCCTTTTTAATTTTCATCCCATCAATCAACGAGTAGCTATAAAAACAAAAATACAATGTGGGGTAAAGCCCATTTGCAACCAACAAGGGCATACAACAAAAGAACGAAAATTAATTAGTCTCAATAAATGTTGATTCCGATTTCATCCCTTGTACCTATCCCACTCACCAAACCCTTCATCAATTCATACACTGTTACACAAATTCCGTTCCATTTTATTCATAATTTTAAAATACTTTACATAGAAGAGAATCTCCCCCCTTGATGAGCAAAAGGGGGAGAGAGAAATATGTGCATTTTATTTTGGGATAATGTAACATGTTTAGGAAAGATTATCAGTGACAATTAAAATTTTTTTTTTAAGGTACAAAGATACCACATGTTTTGCTCACAAATTGTATCGATGTCTTTACGAAAATGTAGGCAGCAAATTATATTTTCAAGCGAAGTATATATTGCAAAAAAATTGTTTGTTAGTGGAAAAAGTATGCAACAATTTAGTGACTGGACTGATCTTTAATAAGATAGAAAATAATGACATCTATCACAATCGGGCAACTAATCGTACACAGCTTAAACACTTTTCCTGTCATTTTGCATACATGTTTCTCATTTCTACTCTCTCGTGTTTTAAGAAGCTTTTTACTTTCTTTCCTTTTCATTCAACTATTTGTGAGGTTCATGTCAATCGCTTTTGGTTTTTCAATTTATCACTGTGGTTTATTGTAGATAACTGTTAGTAAACAAATTCAATTTTAAGGTACCAAATAAAACGATAAGTGCCAGTGGAACTGATGGGACAAGTTTACTCGGTATTCTTAGGAAATCGAACTCGCATTTTCAGATCACATATTAACATATTAAAACAATGTTACTACTTATTAATCATTTAAGAAATATCCAAGGTTGATACTTTTATTTCTTAACTTACAATTTAAGGCACGAGTGAATACATTTAAAAGACCTGCTCTAAATGATAACTATGTTAATGTAAGTCATTCTGCGCAAAAAAATTAATTTGCTAAATTAAGTGTCAAAAGAAGAAGAAAAAAAGAAAAAAGCATTTCATATTGGAAATCTTAATTCAGATTTTTTTTTACAATTTTTCTTTTGCACAGCATATTAACATGGTTATTTAAATAAGAAATATATATGGTTAGTAAATATATACAGATTTCTTTAAAAACCGTGAAATATTGTAAACAATTAAAAATATATATAATATTTATATTTTTAATTGAAACTGAAACAAAACTCAGTTACTGTAGTAGAAACAAGATGAAATTAATTTTATTTAATTTACAATATATCTGGGAAAATCTGAGTAACGTATAAACATGTTTGCATTTTAATTTCACCACCTTAATAACGTTGTAGTTCCTGGTTTTTATGAATTTAATTAAAATATATAATAGTATTTTTTATTTTTTTTTACATTATTAGACAACCGTAAACTCTCATGTAATTAAAAATATTGACTGTTGCAATAATTATTTTAAAAAATATATTAAAAATATTTTTCACTCTCAAATTTTTATTAAGATGTCCAAACTTATGTACAAAATAATTAATAATTTTGAATTTAAGTTTAAATGAATATGATTATGTTAATATTAAATAAAAAATTATCATTTATAAAATAGAAATTAGAAAATATAATATATTTATGGTTTTAAAAAATATGATAGTTAATTTTTAAAAAAAATTATATATTTAATCATTTATAAAATATATGAAAAAATTAAATAATAAAAAAATTACTGAACAAAATAAAAATAAAATAAATATAATAAATGTTTGTTAACTAGAGCAATAATTAGAGTTCCTTAGCGATTATGGAGGGCTTGGGCATAACTGATATTCGAAAGTTCACGATACAAATTGACCATTGATGTTCTCAAAAGTAGAAAGAACTATCTACGACACGTTCCGATGGTTGAATATCAGTTTATCTTATCTTTGTTATGTAAAAGTGGCTGTCGACATCATTTTCCTTTTCCTCAGTGATCATATCTGTATCAATTCTTAACTGCAAATTACACGTTATTATGCTTTTCCAAGAATATTCGGACCACTGGAGCACATTTCCCTTATACTTAATCAATACCAAAACGAATAAATTTATTTTTATTAAGGTATGAACGTATTCAAGCATGGAATTGGATTCCATGCCCTACTTAAGGTTTTCTTTTTCTTTTCTGATCGTCGTGTTCAATAATATCAGCAATGTGAACACCAAAATTTTTATCTCTTCTTGCTGGAGGTGGAAATATGTAGGTTCTCTGTCGAAAGTTTATGCCTTGATTTACACATAACTGGGGTTAGATTCGCTTATATATTAAATAAGCCAGGTAAAAAAATTAAAAGTCTATTTATTTAAAATTTTCAGGTTTTAGATCATTTAATTTTTGTTATGGTTTAGCAAACAAGCCTATAACGATGATGATGACGATGCAAGTTTGTAATATTATGTGTTTATTTTATTTTGAAACTCATTTGTATTAATTTATATATAAACTTTTTAAAACTATATATATGAAATACGTGTCTGACCTGTTTAAACTATCTTGTTATAAATTAAGTTTCTATGTCAAAATAAACTTTTAAAAAATGTAAACAACCATTAAAAATAATATATGTCACATAGATAGAATAATTTAAACATTAACAGAGTTAAGCTAAACTTAAATTTTATAAAGCCCGGTATAGTTTGACCTGTTTTTTCCCTGCCTCTTGCACTGATTTGGATGTTTAATTTTGATGTTATTTTGTTATAAAATATATTTTGCATTCTCGTTTTTAAAATTGAATTGATATCTTATTTGATGAATTTGATAAATGTTGTCAATACATTAAATGTCCAAAACAATATAACATTATATTACTGGATATAAGTGTAATTTTTCTTACACTAAAAATACATTATTCATTTTTAATTTAAAATGGAAACAACCATAGATGATGTTGTAACCTACTACCTACATATAAGGTTATTGCATAACTAGGATAAGATCGTGGTTTAAAAGGAATAAATACGGGTGTACAAACTGTATATAAGTAGTAAAAAATATATGTCATTACTTAAAAAAGTTAGGTCCTTTATAAAAAATTATATAACTAATTTGTAAATGAATGGTTAATAAAAAAAATCAAACATATGTTTTCATATTTCATTTGAGTTTAAAAAAGTTTAGTGCAATAAATCTGAATTATATTATTAACGTACTGACAACATAAAACAAAAGAAAAAGAGTCATATGAGAATAGTATAAATTTGAAAAAAAAAATATTTTTTTCTTCAAAAGGTAACAAAGTACTTTATCCATTCAGAGAAATAAAAAATAGAAAATTATAACAACTTGAACAAGAAAACTTCTCCACTTGATTGTAATAAAATAAAATTAAAAAATCCTACAAAATCCGAACACCCAAAAAAAAATAAAAAAATTCCCACATCTCGGAGGTTTCTTCAACGAGCCGCCATCTACCTTTCTTCGAAACTAGAGGATGGTTTATTAATTTATCCCAAAATTATATACAATAATTATATTTTGAAACTTGAATTAAAAACGCGGTATAAAAATTTAATAGCATCAGTAATAATTACCCAAAATAAGAAGGGTTTTCCGTTTCCCAACTTGAACGGGGTATTTGAAGAAACAGAAAAATGTGGGATAAGTAAGGTAGGAAGGTACATAAACCGCAACAGATTGAGAATTGAAATAATTAAGATTAGAAAAGAAAGATGATTAAGGGGTGATTAGACAGATGGAACATGTATTTGTAAGGTTTGATAGAATATTGGACACAGGAGTTTTGACTTTGACAAGAATGGAGGCAAGGGATGGAGACTCCCACCCGTCGAATGGGTTTGTTCACGTGCAGGCACTGAATTAATATACGCATAGGGTGCCTGAGGCATGTGACACAGACATGCTTTTGGTGTCTGTGTGTCCGATTTTGCAGTTGCTCATAATACATGTACGATGTGTGGGCTCTTAATTACTCATTTCAACACCCTCGCACATGATCGTGACACTCAACGAACAATTAGCACCTAATGCTATAACTACACCCATCCCATGTCACCCTCTTATTTTGATTATGTTTAACCCAAATAATTAGAAAATCTGACAGCGAAACGGGGATGGGAATAGAATCCATGGTAGTATTTGAATAGGGGGAATATTGACTCAGCTGTCAGATACGACCCTTTGAGGGAAAGATGTTGATGTCATTTCAAATGGGTATGTCCTTTGGAATTGTTTGAATGGCACAAAGTCATTAACAAGCCCTACCCCTTTTGGTTTCTGCTTTGGTGCCTCCCTGTGACTATGTGACCACTCAGACTTCGAGGCCAGGTTTGTGTGTGGTTTGGTACTGAAATAAATATGCGGGTATGATGCAACTATAGTACAACTGTTGCTAACATTCATGTGAATATGACTTATAAAGCATCTCAAAGATCATTTTTTGAGGAATGCCTCCGTGAACCAAAGAAATTAAAGTTCACAATTGGGATTCACAATTCATGTATGGTCACTTTTCAAAGCCTAGTGTTTGTTTCATCTGCGAGTTACTTTACGATTTGTGGTTTATTTTTCTAGAGGAACTCTTGCCGCATACTAATTAAGGTTAACAATGCATAGGTCGCTTGTCCAAG